AAGAAAGATCACACTGACTTCTCGATGAAGAAAAGCACATGTGAAAATGTGAGCACATGTACAGTGCTGTTCCCTTTGAACCTCTCTGAGCTCCTCCATCCTCACACTCGTGCTGCAGCTCGTCCTGAGTGTGTCTAAGAGCAGACAGAAGCTCAGAGGGGACGGGGCCTTTGTCGTGGCACCACCAACACTGTGAATGAGCTGCTTCTGCACATTAGACAGGACTCTTCTCTCCCTCTTTACAAATCTCTTCTTAAAACACATTTGTTCACTTTGGTCCGTCACACACTTTGACATGGGACATTTGACCACTTTTTTTTTTTTTTTATTACATTCTGTTTTATACAGATGTTGTTTTTATTGTTTTCATGGTTATGTTTTGCTGCACTTTGCTCGACCTGTGTTGTGTTTAAAGTGTGTTATAAATAAAGTTTGAGTTGCAAAGTTTAGGAACCACTCCAATAAGAAAATATAATATACACTGAGTGTTTATTCTGTTAATGATCAGTTGTGTAGCATGTGGAATGACTTTTCTTTTTTCTGTTCATTATGTTTTCTGTAAATTAAGTAAAAAAAATAAATAAATAAACAAAATAAAAAATAATAATAATAATAATAATAATAATAGCAAAATAAATAAATAAAAAGAGTATAATTCTACTTTATTTTAAGAGTTTCATCTTACATACATTATTTCATGTTGACGACAGTGAGAGTGTTAAAAATACTAATATAAATATTTGACACCAGGAAACTTGTGTTATGTTACCTGACTGTTCAGTGTTTTGAAAATATTGTTTAATGGTGTGTTTTTTTGTTGTTGTTTTTTTTTTCTCCCTAATAGTTTATGATCTGGACTTTTATGAGACAATGAACCCATGATTTATTTTTGTTTCTTACTGTTTGTTTTATGCTTGTTACATGACTTTATCCCTTCATTAGTTCAACATTTATTGTTTTCTGATAAAAATGTACAAAAAAAAAAAAATGAAACAAAAGTACCTAAATTTATGTTAAAAATTACCTGAGTCTTTCTTTTCATTACACTGTGCAGCATGAGTTTACTGAAGTGAGTCAGTTTCAGTTCAGTCTGAGGAGGTTTTTGTACGAGCCTTTTTCACTGTGTGAACACATTCTGTCTGTTGATGTAGTGATAACTCTTACAGTAATACACAGCAGAGTCTTCAGGATGAACTCCACTGATGGTCAGAGTGAAGCCAGACCCAGATCCACCGCCTGAAAACCGACTGGGGACACCTGACGCTCGAGTAGATGTATGATATATAAGAAGGACAGGTTTGTCTCCATCTCTCTGTTGGTACCAGGCTAAGTAGCTTGTAGAAGACACAGCTGGACTGACAGTACAGCGTATGTTGACGGTGTCTCCCAGGGCGGCCCTCACTGCTCCAGCCTGACTCACTGTCACCTGTCCTCTGGACTCTGAACACACAAACACAAAGCACCTGATGGTTTAGCCTGGTTGGTCTCAGAGGGATGGATGTGGACAGAGGACAGCAGTGGGACTTTCTGGACTTTACCTGTGAAGCAGCAGCAGAGGACAGTCCACATGAGGACGCACACCAAAGTCATGTTGGTGATGAGGAGGCCGTATGTGGCTTGTATTGTCATGAAGGACAGCTGCCAGTGCTCCAGAGTGCACCTCTCAGGACTATAAAGTGTCCCACTGGACCATGCAGCTGTTCATGCAAAGTGTTTGTCTATGGAAATGAGGCTCCCACACAAACATGGAGCACACTGAACAGCTGCAGGGTCTGTGTCATGACTGTATTCATACAGCACAGATACAGTACAGGAACATAGAATAAAATCATGCAATTGTAAATATGTAAAAAGTGAAAAACAGAATAAAAATTAATCAAAATGACCTAGTTTGAAACACAGCAGCAGAGTGAGAGTTTGTGATGGGAGTTGTCAGAGAGCTCCAGAGAATTGGGCCATAGTACATGAAGGCGCCCTCACCAGATCGGGGCTGTATTCATGACACTGTTCAAAGTTGTTGATTGGATGAACGGAGAGGTCTGAGTGGAGTGACTTCTAAAAGCATGTCACAGATGTAGGAAGGAGCCAAAGCATGTGGAGATTTAAAGAGCAATAATAACATCTGAAAATCACTTCTTTGTTTAACAGGCACCAGTGAAGTGACAATCAAATGGGTGTAATGTGCTCAAAGCGCTGAGTTTTGGTTCCAATTCTAGCAGCAGGATTTGGAATGAACTGGAGTTTGTTTAGTGAGTGATTATTAAGACAAACATAAAGTTCATTACAACAGTCGAATCCAAACAAAAACATGAACAACTTTCTCAACATCAGGTTTGAACAGGACACTTCTGACCTTACAAATATTATGGAAATGGATAAAAGTGATTTTTACGAAGATTTAAAATGTGTTTCTTAAAATTAAGGTCAGAGTCAAATGTTACCCCTATTTTTTTTTTTTTTTTTTTTTTGTAGTATGAGTAATCAAAAGATAAGGAGTGAAGTTGTGGGTTGAAGTTTTGCTCTTATCCTTTGAGCAAAGAACTAAAATGTCTGTCTCTCGCCATTCAGTTTATTTTAGGTTTAGTTTAGTTTGTTTTGTGATTTGAATGTCTTTCTTATTCTGTAAACCACTTTGAATGACTGTGTGGACAAACTGTTGCTGTACAAATAAAGAACATTTGGGTTCATCCAGGTTTTGATGGTGGAGATCGAGTTTCAAAGGTTCAGATTGGAGAGACAGACACACAACTCACACTACTGACCCCTACTGCCCCATACTGACCACTACTGACCACTACTGACCACTACTGACCACTACAGACCACTACTGACCACTACAGAGAGCAGAGCTGGAGCAGAGGCAGCACAAACACAAACTCACACAGTGACCTTTGAATTTTCCGACCACAAAAATGTTTGAGAGAAAAGCAAATCCTAAATTTGTAAAATAAATACTGATATAGAACCACATGAATGAACAGACACTGGTTCTGTTCTCACAATTTTAATATAAATAACAAAATAAATGAACAAACTAAACCTGAAGAATAAAGTGAATGTTTAGTAAAGATTATATTTTGAAAGAATTGTAATTTATAGGAAGAAATAAATATGAATAAAATGTATTTGATAAATGTGAATGTTGTGAATAACAGGGATGTGTTTCTGCTGCTTTCAGATTCAAAACAATGTTTGATCCAGTGAAAACAAATGAAACCAGATGAATCATTAATATTACTTTTCCAATGTCTGACAATATTATGAAAGTTAAATACTTTTTACAGGAAGATACTTTAGTTTTTGACTCCTGACCTAAATGTAAGTTCAAATGTTTTCCAGACAAGTGCATAGACACACTGATATGACCTTTTGTTCATTTAGTCGTTGTATTGTGTGAACATTATATTTCCTCATTTTATCCTTTTTCTTGTGGAAAATTATCAATGAATAAATTATTAAAACAATGATCAAAAGCCTCGATGTCAATGAGGATGAAGTGAACACAGCTGCAGACCAACACTGTGTCCCTTTAAAGATCATTTCAAATCTTTCCTGTGGAGGACCTCAGGGAAGTGTTTTTGTCTCTTTCTAATTCATTGTTAAATGTCGAATATTTTATACATTTGTTATATTGAATAATTGAGTGTGTTAACAGTATATTTTCTTATTTTATCAGTTTTTTCTGTTGTGGACCCCAAGGAAGTGTTTTAGCCCCTTTTTAAGTCATTGTAAAAGGTCTAATATTTGTTATATTGAATCATGACGTGTATTAAAAATATTTGGCTTTACTCCAGAATTAGAAAGACACAGTCAATAGTATTACCTTGAACTGATGATTAAAATATAAGAAAAAAAAAGGAAAATAAATAAACTATATATAAAAATAAATAAATAAATAATATATGTTGTTTTTTCGTTTGTTTGTTTTGTTTTTGTTTTTTTTTCCACATAGGAATTCTAACTGGAGTCCTATGTTTGCTTGTTCTTTATCTTCACATTTTTCACAGTTCGAGACTCTGAAGTTTTTCATTCTCCACAATCACTAACATGACTTTTGAACATGCAGTTTATTCACTCAAATGTTTGTAACATAATGGTGTAATTTAATAATGGTCACACCTATGTTGACTGTAAATTATTGTGTGTGTGTGTGTGTGTGTGTATGTGTGTGTGCGTGTGTGTGCATGTGTGTGTGTGTGTGTGTGTGTGTGTGTGTGTAAAAATAATTAAATAAATGCAAATAATTTAATTATAAAATAACATAATGAATTCCCTGTTCAGCCTGTTCTTAACTCTCATTATATTGCGTGTCACTGTGCAGTGTGAGTTTAGTGAAGTGTGAACAGTTTCAGTTCAGTCTGAGGAGGTTTTTGTACGAGTCTTTTTCACTGTGTGAACGGTGAGCTGCTATACTGCTGACAGTAATAAACTCCTGCATCTTCAGCCTCAAATCCACTGATGGTCAAAGAATAATCAGATCCAGAACCACTTCCACTGAAACGACTGGAGACTCCAGAGTGACGAGAAGTAGCAGCATATATCAGGAGCTTTGGAGATTCTGTGCCTTTCTGGAGATACCAGGCGAGATTATTCCCTACATTTGAACTGGTCTGACACCTGAGAGTAACAGAGGCTCCTTTGTCCACAGCTGCAGCTTTAGGAGTCTGAGTCAGGCTGATTTCTCCTGAAGAACCTGAAAAACAGAAGAAGAGTTATTGAGACAGACCCCGCAGGTGTCCAGAGGAGCAGTGCTGTGACCCAGATGTCCTCACCCCGAACCAGGAGCCCCAGGGCCAGCAGGAACAGCTGCAGGGACATCAGGCTCATTGTGTTGTTGGTGTGGGAGTGGCTCTGAAGGGCCCGCACACACACTGAGCAGCACTGGGCTCTTAACGGCTGGAGCAGAGAGGCAGCACACATATGCAAAGTCACACAGTCAGAGGAGACAGACACACAGCTCACACTACTGCCCCCTACTGACCACTACTGACCACTACCGACCACTACTGACCAATACTGAACACTACTGAAGTCCACACGAAAATGTCTAAACACAGACCTTAAAAAGAAGGTGACTAAGAGAGTGAGACGTCACATTGAGAACAATAAACACAATTAAAAGTGAACAGTTGAAGTAGGACAGTGCAGTTATGGTTGTGTGGTGGAGTGAATAGGCCAGTCTAAATAGGTGTGTTCTGAGTTTGGATTTGAAATGTGGGAGTGAGTGAGTGTTGTGGAGATCTGGGGGAAGAGTGTTCCAGAGCTGAGGAGCAGAGCAACTGTAGGCTCTGCTCTCCCATGGTGAGGAGATGGACAGAGGGAACATAGAGCTGGAGAAAGAGGAGGAGCAGAGGGAACTGTTGTAAGGGGTGAATTGTGTGAACATTTATATTTCCTCATTTTATCCTTTTTCTTGTGGACAATTATCAGTGAATAATTGATTAAAACAATTGATCAAAAGCCTCGATCTCAATGAGGATGAAGTGAACACAGCTGCAGACCAACACTGTGTCCCTTTAAAGATCATTTCAAATCTTTCCTGTGGAGGACCTCAGGGAAGTGTTTTTGTCTCTTTCTAATTCATTGTTAAATGTCTAATATTTTATACATTTGTTATATTGAATAACTGAGTGTGTGTTGAAAATGTGACTTTACACCAGGACTAGTAAAACACATGTATTAATATAACTTGAACTGACAATAAAATTATAAATCAAAATATATATTTTAAGTGTTTATTTCCACAAAGACATTTATACTTCACTCTTTTTTTAACTTGTTTTTCAGTTTAAATGTGTAAATGTGAGCTGTTTGTCAGTTGTTTATCAGTCTCTGTACAGCTGAATGGTTTTGTGGTGTTCTCTGAGGAGCTGCAGGTTTTTGTACGACCACTCCATGAGTTTGTATCACTGTGGTGGACGTTCGGTGGAGGAACCAGACTGGAGCTCAACTGTAAGTCATCTCTTTATGTTCACTTTAAATGAGACTTTGGTTTAGTTTGTGATTCATCTGTTTCTATTTCTGAAGCCTGACATCATTTGATTGTTTTCTGTTTTATTATAAATACTGTTTGGAGTTCTGGGTGAGCAGTGTCTTCTTATCATCCCCACAGTCACTCACCTCAATTTATGCATAAATATTTTATTCCCACTGTAACTTATTAAAATTTATGGTTTTAGCGGGGAAAAAGTTAATATTTATTAAATTTTTCTGTTCAGAATTTTTGTTTTGTTTTTAAATTGTCGTAACACAGAAACATTATTTATTTATTTATTTATTTATTATTTTTTTATTTTGTATGTAATTATAGTAATGTCGATATTAAAAAAAAAAAAAAAAAAAAAAAAAAAAGTTGTTATGGACTTTTTGTTTTCTGTGGGGATTTTATTTAAAGTTTATCTTTAACTGTGAAACTGTTCTGTTGTTCTGCTTCAGTGGAGCCTCTCAGTTCTGTTTTCACTCATTTCAGGCTAAAAGTTATATTTGTACTGAAAAAAGTACCTCATTTCCTATTATTATTCTAGATAACATTACATATATTTAAATGTATGTTGACTTTCTTATATATTTTTTGGAAGTAATGAAGTCCAAGATTACTGGTGTGAGGTCCACCACCTGAAAATGTTTTTGCTTTACCTGGAATGTTCCATAGAACAATTTCAACACTTTCATCTTCCATTTAGATCATTACAGGTGTTTGTATTGACAATTAAATACTGGTTTTGATGGAGTCACTTTTGTTATTTTCTGGATTATTCCATGGAGAAAAACTTGTGTGTGTGTTTGTGTGTGTGTCCACAGTGGGGCGAGTGGAGCCCAGCCTCTGGGTGCTGCCCCCCTCCAGAGAGGAGCTGGCCCAGGGGAAGGCCACCCTCGTGTGCCTGGCCAACAAGGGCTTCCCGTCAGACTGGAGCGTGTCCTGGAAGGTGTCCGGTGGCGGTGCGGGCGGGGAGCAGAGCCGGAGCCCCGCGGTGCCGCAAAAGGACGGCCACTACAGCTGGAGCAGCAGCCTGACGCTCCCCGCACAGCAGTGGAGGGAGGGGGGCGTGGCTGTGAGCTGTGAGGCCAGCCAGGGCTCCCAGAGTCCAGTGTCCCACACACTGAGCACACTGCAGTGTTCCCACCACTGACACAGTCACTGGGATCAGCCTGCAGAGCGCCCTCTGCTGTCAGCTCACGCCTCTACAGCTACAGCTCCACTTCACTTACTGCAGCACAGCACACAGGCCTCTGTCCCAACTGGAGCTTCTGCTCCAAATAAAGAGCTGTGCATCAAAAGCATCTTTGTGTGTGGAGCTGCTGAGACACAAACTTCAATAAAGACTCTCTGCACTCACATGTGACTACGCCTCATCTTTCTCTTTTGTCCTGTTTTATTTTTTTTTATAAATACGTATATAAATATATACGTAATATTATATAATATTATATAATAACAAGTCCTGAGATTTTGACCCAAACTCACAATTTAAAAAAAAAAAAAGCCAATGGACCCTGCGGCTGTCCCAGTGGACCATGTGTCCCAGTGGACCATGTGTCCCAGTGGACCATGTGTCCCAGTGGACCATGTGTCCCAGTGGACCATGTGTCTCATTGGACCTGCAGCTGTTCAAAGTGTCAGACATTTACATGAGAAGTTGAGGAACAGACCAGAGGAGTGTCATGAGGAAACTCTGGAATGGTGCATGACATAGACAGTAGAATTAAAGTAGTAGTAGTAGTAGTAGTAGTAGCAGCAGTAGCAGGAGTAGTAGCAGTAATAGTAGTAGTAGTAGTAGTAGTAGTAGTAGTAGTAGTACCAGCAGTAGTAGTAGTAGTAGTAGTAGTAGTAGTAGTAGCAGCAGTAGCAGCAGTAGTAGTAAAACAAATAGCTAAGTCTAGTCTAGTAGTACTACAAGCAGTAATAGAAATACCAGCATTTGTAAAGTAGTAGTGTAGTGTAGTGTAGTGTAGTATTTGGATTTTGTAGTGGTCTTGTTAGCAATAGTTATGGAAGTAGTAGTACAGTTGTAGTAGTAGTAATGGTGGTGGTAGTAGCAGTAGTAGTAAATGGTAATGGTCACATTTTTCTATAGCGCTTTTCCACCTTCAAGGCACTCAAAGCACTTTACAACAAGGAACCATTCACCCATTCACACACCAGTGTACACAGACACTGTGGGCAAGGTGGGTTAAGTGTCTTGCCCAAGGACACAACAACAGCATTCATCTGTGGGAGCTGGAATCACACCAGCCAACCTGTGGGTCAGTGGATCTGACCACTCAACCTGTGATGTTTATGTCAAGAGCTGGAATCAAACCACCAACCTTCAGATCAGTGGGCGAATGCTCTACCAACTGAGCTACTGCCGCCCCAGTAGTAGTAGTAGTAGTAGTAGTAGTAGTAGTAGTAGTAGTAGTAGTAGTAGTAGTAGTAGTAGTAGTAGTAGTAGTAGTAGTAGTAGTAGTAGTAGTAGTAGTAGTAGTAGTAGTAGTAGTAGTAGTAGTAGTAGTAGTAGTAGTAGTAGTAGTAGTAGTAGTAGTAGTAGTAGTAGTAGTAGTAGTAGTAGTAGTAGTAGTAGTAGTAGTAGTAGTAGTAGTAGTAGTAGTAGTAGTAGCAGTAGTAGCAGTAGTAGTAGTAGTAGTAGTAGTAGTAGTAGTAGTAGTAGTAGTAGCAGTAGTAGTAGTAGTAGTAGTAGTAGTAGTAGTAGTAGTAGTAGTAGTAGTAGTAGTAGTAGCGTAGTAGTAGTAGTAGTAGTAGTAGCAGTAGTAGTAGTAGTAGTAGTAGTAGTAGAAGTATACTTAAAACATCACGAGGACAGTATCAGGTGTTTGGATTTCAGTTTTATTTCCATTGGACAAAAAGTTCAGTGAAAAATAAATAACTTGAGTTTTCCGTGAGCTGAACAAGTGCAGTGAGTTTTTCCTCCACTGCTTCAGAAATCACAAGAACCATGTTTGGAGCGACATCAGTCAGTGTGGCAGTCACTTCTTTCAAATTCTACAACACTGAAAAAAACAACACTGGTAAGTGAACACATGTAATCAACTCTGTAACAAGAAAATATGAGGAAAAACAAACCAAACATGCACTGTTCATTTTTACATCTTCTTCTATTTCTGACGCAAAATGACGGGTGAATTTGAATGAGGAATGTGTGATTAAAAAAAAAAAAAAAAAAAAAAAAGCACTGAAGGTTTATGCCATTTAAGAAAATACGGGTGGATGTATGTTTAATTTAACTTTTTAATACAACTACATTTTCTGTACAGTACTTTTCTGGCACTTTAACTCCTACATACGGAATATATAGTACAATGTAACAGTACTTTTACTCGAGTAATATATAGTACAGCATAACAGTACTCTTACTTGAGTAAAAGTTGTGGTTCCTCTTCCCACTGTGAGTAATAAATATGTTTTTTTGTTTTTTTTATTTAGTTTGTCTCATTTTTGTGTCTCTCTGACAATTATTTTCACAATATCACATTTAACATTATTTCCTCATTCAAACTCACCGTAAACAAAAATAAATCTCAACTGTAATGAACTTTATATATATATGTGTGTGTGTGTGTGTGTGTGTGTGTGTGTGTGTAGTGTGTGTGTGTGTGTGTGTGTGTGTGTGTGTGTGTGTGTGTGTGTGTGTGTGTGTGTGTGTATCTGGTGAAGTGAATGAGACTAGGTCAGGGGCTTCAGCTTGTGAGTTTCTTTTAAAATGACCAAGTCAAAATGATCGACCTGTTACAAAGCCAAACAAACTGTTCTGAACTGAGACACTCTGAGTCTTTCCTTTACATTCTCTTACTTGTTTTGCAGTGGGATTTTCCAGCCTCTGCACATTTATCAAACCAAACGCACATGGTGACAAACACAGATGCATCTGTGCACTTTTATTAAGCAAACTTCAGCCACATGTCATGTTAGGTCTGTTCTGTGCTGTAGGCTCCTCTGTGCCAACACTGTAACATACATTTAGATTTGTTTTTGCTTCGCATTTCATCTTGCTCTTCTCATCGGCGCAGAAAAGATGGAGCCTGTGTGCTGTATGTGGGGAGGAGTGAGAGCATGAAAAGGCGAGGAGCGAGGCGCTAGCATGACAAATACTACGACACTATGATCTACCCACACGACCTTGGCAATCGACTGGTAGATCGTGATCGATGTATTGGACACCCCTTATTTTTTCTCCTCTGATCTGCATCAGTCTCATGATTGACCTCGAGTGCCTTCGTTTGATGGAAATCCATCACAGGACAGAAAACTTTAATCAATGTGAATGAAAGTAAATGTGTTATTGTCAGATCAATACTAGTCTGATCAGGAAATGTGGTGTACACCAGTTTGAGATAAAATACTGACTCAATAAGTCTGAATTTTCAATTTTCAGTTGGTGTCATGTGTTTTCTACATAAACACACGATGAAGGAAGCACCGCCACAGCTCAGTTCAGTTTCACTTCAGTCTGAGAAGGTTTTTGTACGAGTCTTTTTCACTGTGTGAACACATTCTGACTGTTGATGTAGTGTTCACTCTGACAGTAATACACAGCAGAGTCTTCAGGCTGAACTCCACTGATGGTCAGAGTGAAGTGAGACCCAGATCCACTGCCTGAAAAACGACTGGGGACACCTGAGGTTCGATTAGAAATTCTATATATAAGAGCTTTAGGAGGCTCTCCATCTCTGTGTTGGTACCAGGACAGAACGTAGATGTCTCCCTTAAACTTGTACAGATCCTGACTGAGATTACAGTCTATGTTGACGGTGTCCCCCAGGGCGGCCCTCACTGCTCCAGCCTGACTCACTGTCACCTGTCCTCTGGACTCTGAACACACAAACACAAAGCACCTGATGGTTTAGTCTGGTTGGTCTCAGAGGGACGGATGTGGACAGAGGACAGCAGTGGGACTCTCTGGACTTTACCTGTGAAGCAGCAGCAGAGGACAGTCCACATGAGGACGCACACCAAAGTCATGTTGGTGATGAGGAGGCCGTATGTGGCTTGTGTTGTCATGAAGGACAGCTGCCAGTGCTCCAGAGTGCACCTCTCAGGACTATAAAGTGTCCCACTGGACCATGCAGCTGTTCATGCAAAGTGTTTGTCTATGGAAATGAGGCTCCCACACAGACATGGAGCACACTGAACAGCTGCAGGGGCTGTGTCAGCAGAATTAGACCCATATTGGTTCCTGGTGTATTTTAAAATTTAATGCAGAATTGTAAAAGGTTATTTCCTTGTCTGTCTTTTTGATGCTGATATTTGATATATTGATATTTACTTGGTTAGTATCTTGAAGCATTTGATTTTAAATCATTTCATCAATTCATGAATCAATTCATAAAATATTGTCACTTTTCTTTATTTTACTTTTTATTAAGAAAAAAAAAAAACTAAGTCCACCTCTTTCTGAATAAAAACATTGTCATCTCCTTCTGAACAGTGTTTTTCAGTTTAAATGTGTAAATGTGAGCTGTTTGTCAGTTGTTTATCAGTCTCTGTACAGCTGAATGGTTTTTTGTGGTGTTCTCTGAGCGGCTGCAGGTTTTTGTACGACCACTCCATGAGTTTTGTATCACTGTGGCTCACGTTCGGTGGAGGAACCAGACTGGAGCTCAACTGTAAGTCATCTCTTTATGTTCACTTTAAATGACACTTTGGTTTAGTTTGTGATTCATCTGTTTCTATTTCTGAAGCCTGACATCATTTGATTGTTTTCTGTTTTATTCTAAATACTGTTTGGAGTTCTGGGTGAGCAGTGTCTTCTTATCATCCCCACAGTCACTCACCTCAATTTATACAGAAATATTTTATTCACAATCAGACTTTTTGAATTTTATAATTTTAGTATTTTAATATGGCATTCTGGTATTTTAATTACATTTGTAAATATATATTTTTTTAATCTAACTGATATAAGTAAAGGTTTAAAATTGTATATCATAATTGAACATAATTGTATTTATTTGTTAATGTTGATATTTTAAAAAAGAAAAAAAGAATGTAAAGAAGAATATAAAAATATTTTCTTTATGACCAACCTAAACTTCAACTTTTTAGTTTATCTTTAGCTCTGAAACTGTTCTGTTGTTCAGCTTCAGTGGAGCCTCTCAGTTCTGTTTTCACTCAGTTCAGGCTAAAAGTGACTTTTGCTGTGAGAGAAAAAAAAAGTACTAATTAGTATTTAGTAGTATTGTAAGTATTTTGACTTGCATTTAAGTTTTTTTTGGAAAATAATTAGAGTCCGAGATTACTGGTGTGAGGTTCACCACCTGAATACTGTGAAGATGTTATTTGGAATGTTCCACAGAATTATGAATGTTATTATTATAACGTTCCACAGATTTTAATTTAATGCCAACAAATATTACCTTTTTTTATCTGGATAATTCCATGGGGAAAAAAAATGTACATATTCTAAAAAAGATTCAAAAGGAGCGTTTCATGGATCAGTGGTCTTCTTTGGGGAAGAGACGTCAGTTTTCCTTGAGGAAAACCATAGACTTTGGAAGTTGTCCATTAAGATCTGCAGTAAATTAATAAAGGCATTTTATTGTAACCAGTGAATGCCTTGGGTTCCTTACATCTTTAAAACTTACATATTGTCAACCAATTATGATGAAAAATCTGCCCTTCACAGTGTGTGTAAGTGTGTGTTTGTGTGTGTGTTCACAGTGGGCCGAGTGGAGCCCAGTCTCTGGGTGCTGCCCCCTCCAGAGAGGAGCTGGCCCAGGGGAAGGCCACCCTCGTGTGCCTGGCCAACAAGGGCTTCCCGTCAGACTGGAGCGTGTCCTGGAAGGTGTCCGGTGGCGGTGCGGGCGGGGAGCAGAGCCGGAGCCCCGCGGTGCCGCAAAAGGACGGCCACTACAGCTGGAGCAGCAGCCTGACGCTCCCCGCACAGCAGTGGAGGGAGGGGGCGTGGCTGTGAGCTGTGAGGCCAGCCAGGGCTCCCAGAGTCCAGTGTCCCACACACTGAGCACACTGCAGTGTTCCCACCACTGACACAGTCACTGGGATCAGCCTGCAGAGCGCCCTCTGCTGTCAGCTCACGCCTCTACAGCTACAGCTCCACTTCACTTACTGCAGCACAGCACACAGGCCTCTGTCCCAACTGGAGCTTCTGCTCCAAATAAAGAGCTGTGCATCAAAAGCATCTTTGTGTGTGGAGCTGCTGAGACACACACTTCAATAAAGACTCTCTGCACTCACGTGTGTCTACGCCTCATCTTTCTCTTTTGTACTGTTTGATTTTTTTTTATAAATATGTATATAAATAGATACGTAATATTATATAATATTATATAATAACATGTCCTGAGATTTTGACCCAAACTCACAATTTTTAAAAAAAGCCAATGGACCCTGCGGCTGTCCCAGTGGACCATGTGTCCCAGTGGACCATGTGTCCCAGTGGACCATGTGTTTCAGTGGACCATGTGTCTCATTGGACCTGCAGCTGTTCAAAGTGTCAGACATTTACATGAGAAGTTGAGGAACAGACCAGAGGAGTGTCATGAGGAAACTCTGGAATGGTGCATGACATAGACAGTAGAATTAAAGTAGTAGTAGTAGTAGTAGTAGTAGCAGTAGCAGCAGCAGTAGTAGTAGTAGCAGTAGTAGTAGCAGTAGTAGTAGTAGTACAGTAGTAGTAGCAGTAGTAGTACAGTAGTAGTAGTAGTAGTAGTAGTAGTAGTAGTAGTAGTAGTAGTAGCAGCAGTAGTAAAGTAGCAGCAGTAGTAAAGTAGTAGCAGCAGTAGTAGCAGTAATAGTAGTAGTAGTAGTAGTAGTAGTAGTAGCAGTAGTAACAGTAGTAGTAGTAGTAGTAGTAGTAGTAGTAGTACAGTAAAAGTAGTAGCAGTAGTAGTAGTAGTAGTACAGTAGTAGTAGCAGTAGTAGTAGTAGTAGTAGTAGTAGTAGTAGTAGTAGTAGTAGTAGTAGTACAGTAGTAGTAGTAGTACAGTAGTAGTAGTAGTAGTAGTAGTAGTAGTACAGTAGTAGTAGTAGTAGTAGTAGTAGTAGTAGTAGTAGTAGTAGTAGTAGTAGTAGTAGTAGTAGTAGTAGTACAGTAGTAGTAGTAGTAGTAGTAGCAGTAGTAGCAGTAGTAGTAGTAGTAGTAGAAGTACAGTAGTAGTAGTAGTAGTAGTAGTAGTAGTAGCAGTAGTCAATCAATCAACAACTTTATTAATCCCAAAGGGCAGTTCAGTTGGCACATCTCTGGTCATGCACAATATATAAATATAAATAATAAAGAAAAAGAAAGACAGACACCAGACGTTCAAACCACAGTGCATCAGGGACACAGGAACAAATTCACTTTCCGTTTAAAATCCTTATGGCAGAAGGAATAAAAGATTTGGCGTAGCGGTTAGTCCTTTGCTGTGGGGTGACATAGCGCCTCCCAGAGGGCATCTTCACGAACTGTGAGCGCAGCACATGGCTAGGCTGGCTCAATATGGCCTTAGTCCTTTGTAACACCCGATGTCTCCACACAGAGGCCAAATCCTCCATCTGAACACCACTGATTTTGCTGCAAACTTTTACAATCTGGTTCAGACTGTTCTTGTCTTTCACAGATAATCCATAAAACCAAAAGATACAAGAAAAGGTCAGCAAACTTTCAATAAAAGAATGATAAAAATTATTTAAAATATTAGACGATACATTAAAAGAGCTGAGCTTCCGCATCAACTGAAGCCGCTGCTGTCCTCGTTTGACGATGTGCTCAGTGTTCTTATCAAACCTTAAAGAGGAATCAAACACAGTTCCCAAGTACTTATAAGAGTCGACCATTTCTATGGCTTCTCCATGGATGGAACTGGCTATTGGGCTGTGGACTTTTTTCCGGAAGTCCACAACCATTTCTTTGGTTTTGGCTACGTTTAGGTCCAGGTAGTTATTATCACACCATTCAATGAAAGCAGGTAAAGCTCGGCCATGGTCAGAGTTTGCTCCCTGCAGGAGAGAGAGGAGGACAGTATCATCTGAGAACTTGATCATGTAGCTGCCCTCATTTGCAGACCTACAACTGTCTGTGTACAAAATATAGAGCAGCGGAGACAAAACACAACCCTGGGGGCAACAATATTTGAAATGATGGAATTGGACATTTCCCCATTTACCAGGACTCTCTGTGTGCTCTGTAGTGGCAGTAGTAGCTGTAGTAGTAGTAGTAGTAGTAGTAGTAGTAGTAGTAGTAGAAGTACAGTAGTAGTAGTAGTAGTAGTAGCAGTAGTAGTAGTAGTAGTAGAAGTATACTTAAAACATCACGAGGGCAGTATCAGGTGTTTGGATTTCAGTTTTATTTCCATTGGACAAAAAGTTCAGTGAAAAATAAATAACTTGAGTTTTCCGTGAGCTGAACAAGTGCAGTGAGTTTTTCCTCTACTGCTTCAGAAATCACAAGAACCATGTTTGGAGCGACATCAGTCAGTGTGGCAGTCACTTCTTTCAAATTCTACAACACTGAAAAAAACAACACTGGTAAGTGAACACATGTAATCTGTGAAAAAAAAAAGAAAAAAATAAAGGCCTTAGCTTGGGCATACTTCATGCTAGGCATTTGTGACTCACTCACTCACAGTCTTCATGTACATATCTACAGAAACTAGAAGGCCTAAGCTTTAAAATGGTGCCTCACACAAGCATGTGGGTTCTCAGGTTTTCTTTTAATAAGCTATGGCATTTGGGTATGTAGTGCTATTGTGCACACACCAAAATGAGGTGGGTGGTAACAGGTTAAAATAAAAGTGTGCTATACGCTACTTTTTAATTCATTAATTGGTTTTGCGTATAACATGTGATTAATCACGATTAATCGGACTCAAACTCATGCGATTAATGCAATTATTATTATTATTTTTTTATTTTAGCCCAGCTCTACTTTCTTTACATATCAGACAAACTGCACAGTCCTGAGACTCGGTACTGAGAATGAGACACACTTGGACGTGTCCCCTGTCTGCAGGTGAAGGAACAGAAACACATTTCCAACAGGAAGAGATCGCTAAATAACTCAAACCTGCACGGATGAAAACCTCTCTCATGTATTTGATGGGGGAATAACATGATGACATGGTAGAAAGCTTAACTTTGATGACTCTAATGATAATATTCACCTTTTGGAATGATTTGGGGAGGGCTGCACAAACATTCTTCATTTATTTATTTTTTTAATCTGTGAAAGTGCATAGTTGGTGGTAATGATCTGCAGTTTTTCCCATGTCAAATGAAGGACAAAATTGTGGGTGATTTTGGACAGAACACAAGCAGTAAGAAAAAAGGTTTAGCTGCAAAAGAAAAGTTTAATTTCATTAAAGTGAACGTCTGTGTGTCCTGCAGCTGCTCAGACCGGCTCTGGGTTAAAGTGCCTATGACAGGTGAAAGCACTCATTTGACTAAAACACATTTAGGATGATTTGCACACTAAAATTATTTGAGAAATAAAAATATGAGAAAAAACCTTCATAGAATTCTCCACAGTGTGATGTCATCAGTGTTTAAGAATGCTCTACTTCCTGCAATTTTCAACATATTTTTTCAACTTTTCTTCCCAATTGCTTCTTAATTTGTGTAAAAATATATTAGGTTTTATCACAACAAATGATGTCAGTATTAGAGACTGGTCATCTCTGCCAAACGCACTTTAAACAGTTTAGCCCCAAATCACATCAGACGCCTGCATCTGACTCAAGAGGAAAAAAGAGACGCTTTTACAACAACAAAGTGATGTTTTAGTTTAGGTTTTTTTTTTGGTTTGTTTTTTTAGATTAAATGGTTAAATTCTGAAAATAAGTTTGACCAGCAAGTTTGAAGTTAGTCTGAAAGAAACATGGATTAATCTAATAGAAACATTTAGATATGACTGACAGAGGTGTTATTCTGAACACATGGAGCAGATTTAGTCCTGGTTTAGTTCTGATTTAGTCCTGGTTTAGTCCTGGTTTAGTTCAGTTTTAGGCCAGCTCTAGTGCAGGTGTGTGTGGAGTCAGTACTGGTACGAGCTGTGGATTAAAACGATTTCAACACTTTCCTCTTCCATTTATATAATTACAGGCATTTGTATTGACAATTAAATACTGGTTTTGATGGAGTCACTTTTTGTTATTTTCTGGATAAATAAAAACTTGTATGTGTGTGTTTGTGTGTGTGTCCACAGTGGGCCGAGTGGAGCCCAGCCTCTGGGTGCTGCCCCCCTCCAGAGAGGAGCTGGCCCAGGGGAAGGCCACCCTCGTGTGCCTGGCCAACAAGGGCTTCCCGTCAGACTGGAGCGTGTCCTGGAAGGTGTCCGGTGGCGGTGCGGGCGGGGAGCAGAGCCGGAGCCCCGCGGTGCCGCGGTGCGCAAAAGGACGGCCACTACAGCTGGAGCAGCAGCCTGACGCTCCCCGCACAGCAGTGGAGGGAGGGGGGCGTGGCTGTGAGCTGTGAGGCCAGCCAGGGCTCCCAGAGTCCAGTGTCCCACACACTGAGCACACTGCAGTGTTCCCACCACTGACACAGTCACTGGGATCAGCCTGCAGAGCGCCTCTGGGAAGGTCAAAGGAAGATTTATTTTATTGTGACTTTAATGAATTTAACAAATAAAGAAATACAAATAAATGTCTTTGCTCTGAACCACATGGATGTTTTTTTGCTCCTTTGGTATTTCATAATAAACTGTGTAATATCCAGATGAAACCATCATATAACAATATGATCATTTGTATAATTCATAATAGAATTATTAAATAATAATATTAATAATATAATAGTGTCAAATGAGCAGTTTATAAATCAAGTCAGTGACACTCTGTATTGATGCTGTCGTGAAGACCAAAAATCCCATGTTTATATCAAAGATACAATGATCACAAATTCTCTGGGTTTTGTTTTGTTTTGTTTTGTTTTTTTACAAATACAGTTTGATGAACTCCTCCGGCATTTGTCAGAATGAGCTCAAGTTTGGTGAAAATGATCTAGAGGAGTAGGGACATTGTTAATCTTCTTCCTGTGGTGCTGTCGCACACTTTGCCTGAAACTTTTTATCTTGTAAAAACGCCTCCATTAGTGTAGCAAAGAGGAAGAGAAGGTGTGATTGTGTCTCACAGTCGACAGTGGGACTCATGTAAAGAGGGAAACTGAGGCAGCGGCCCATCATTGCTGCTTGTGGCTCTATTTATTGTCAATATTATTGTTATATTTTTGTGAAGTGTAATGTACAGACATGAATACTGAAATAAGCAGAGACGTCCCATTTGCTGGAGCTCATAGAACAAAAGACAGAGCACTTGTTGTCATGGAACATGTTTTATTCAGCCTGTGCACTGAGCAAAAGTCACACTCTACATCTGAGTCTTACTGCAGCTGTGGGATGCTCCGTGTTCAGGGCCCATGCAGCTCTAAGCAGTGGCTCTAAGCAGTGGCTCTTGTGCAGTGACTGGACGTGGACGTGTCCGTGGTGGTGCACCCTACAGGAGAACAGCTGTCCCTGCAGCCAGCTGTCCTCAGTCAGGCTCAGGAGGCTGCTGCTGCTGTACAGGCTGCTCTTCTCCTGCTCCACGCTGCTCTGAGCCGCCCCTGTGACCAGCACCATTTAAGCAGCTTTATTCAGGAAGGAAGGAAATGTCCTCTATGTGCAAGGACTTCAAACACTCAACTTTCTCTTCACATTTCACTTCATGCTTTCAGCTTCCTGTAATATGTAACACTTTGAGACCTTTTCACATTCAAAAGACTGAGTTTAAATTGTTCATCTCTATGGATGATGGTCCGACTTCCTCATCATTCACAGATCTTCACTTCTGTCGACATAACTGTAAAAATCTGTTAAAATGAGCTAAATAAAATGTGTTTTAACTTGAGCTGTTTAGATTTCTGACTGTTTTCACTGCGTAGTTTTCTTATTTCAAAAAGATGTTATTTTGTCATTTGGTAAACACATGAATACATCTTTTTTACTCTGACACTAAATATTCTGTATATTTATGGTTTGAAATGTTATGTTGAGAACAACTAAGATGCATTTTTATCATGATGAAAACTGTAAACAAGGTAAAACTCTTACTGCAGTCAGAATGGAAGTATTTCTATCAAATACACATAAATATGAGAGTAAAAACGGCACATGGAATCACACGGGTCTTTGACTTCTGTTGGAGTCCAACTATTTGAAATGCCATTGTTTGTGTGGTTTGTGCAGAGTTGTGTGTTGTGTACCTGTGTCTGTGAGCTCGTGTCCGTCCACCTCCCAGCTCACACTGGCCCCCTGTGGAGAGTAGGAGCTGAGCAGGCAGAGCAGAGAGAGCCTCCCCCCAGAGAGCTGCTGCAGAGAGGGGCCCACGAGAGAGACAGAGGGGGGGCGCACCGGGCCACCTGCACACACAACACGCAAAATACACACCACTTGTGTTCATATGCATGTGTAATATGTCCATTATTGACACGAGTTCACTTCAAGTACGAACACACAAATGGTTCTTAAACTGTGCTCACGTGCCAAGAGAAATGACTCTTTTTTTACTTGATACATTTAGATCCGGTGGTTCACACAAAACTCAATATTTCAACATTCAAATCAGAAAAAAACTGAGCTGATCAACGTCAGAGAAAAGCTACAAAAGCATGTGCATAGGCCAATTTACAATGTTTAAACAAAAAGCCCAAAGCAACACCAACCTCACATCATGAACAAAAATACTCTTGGTATTTTACTCTGGAGAAGAACTCCACAGTACGAGTCAAACTGAACTCTTTATTTGATTTATGATGTTTAAAGATGTATTTTGGTGGGAACAAGACAGCTGTGTATTTCACTTCCTTTTAACTACATTTGAGCGTAAAAGTGTAAAGAATCATTGAGAATCATGTGAACATGTTGTAAATGATGAAGAATTAGAGAAATCATCGAGGATTCAAAATGTCATCAAACTTTTCAATGACCTCTCACAAATATTCTTCATTATTTACAAACCAAGTTCAGATTTTATCATGAATGTAGATTATTATAATTATGTTTACGATATTATTATTATTATTATTATTATTATTATTATTATTATTATTATTATTTATTATTATTATTTATTTTTTTACAAATATTAATGTTGTAGAACTGAACTCATGATGTGTAAGAGTAAAATAAAAAGTGGTTTTGAGAATATGACTTACTGTGAAAGATGAGCTGTGTTCCTCCTCCGAACGTCCACCACAGTGATACAAAGTGATGAAGAGGCCGTACAAAAACCTCTGCTCTGTTCTCCTCCACACACTGCTCTCAGCTCACTCACACAACACTCACACAAAGTCTGGATTCCACTGTTTTACTAATGACCACTTCCAAACCACCACCATGTCGACGTTTGTTATGAAGTTATTTACACAGTTTATATTTACACACACACATTTTACTTTTATTACTTTTTTACATTATATGGAAACAAATCTGACAGCACCGAGTTTGACATTTTTAAGTGCAGATGTTGAAAACAGGAGTGCATCAACTTTATTAAATCCTACTGATGTTAGTCATGTTTAATTGTTGAAATACCTGCAGGTTTTTGTAACATCTTTGTCATGTTTGACACAGATTCCTCCACCTGTCAGAACTCCTGAATTCACCACTCCATCTGTGCCTGCACTTCCAGCCCCGGTGTAAGTGGGCCGGACTCGCTTGTCCACAGGAGAACGTCACAGGAGAATGACTGCAGGTGAGTGTGTCTATCGTGGCCAGCCTGGTCATTTCTTAAAATCATGTCCTGTTCACCCAAAAGCTCCAGCTCATCAGTAGGAGTGGGAGGACTGGTGAGTGAGTCTCCGGTTTCCCACACTTCAGGTCCCTGCACTCCTCAAACTCTCCCCAACACACTCTTCCTCTGCAAACACTTAGAACAGAACACAGCTTCATACACTAATCTTACTCAACAAGCACAAACTCCCTGTTGTTTATAAATCCTGAATGTTGTGAATAAATCCATGAATATATTCATCAGGGAAATGGGACAAATCTTTGTTTCAGAGTAAACACGCTTCAGTTTGTCCCTGAGTCTCTGAAAGTGGCTTTTATTTTTAGCTGCTCTTCATTTAATCTTAAATTTTAATTGACTCTGTCTCTGCGATGAATAATGTTGTTATTATTATGTATTTATTTTAATGTATTAATGTATTAATTTATTTTATCAAACACAATTAAAACTTAAAGAAAATGATCAGATAATGAATATGAGTGTTAAGTATCTGCAGCATCTGTGTCAAACTAAGTGAGTCAGTTTCAGTTCAGTCTGAGGAGGTTTTTGTACGAGTCTTTTTCACTGTGTGAACGGGAAGCTGTAACCCTGCTGACAGTAATAAACTCCTGCATCTTCAGCCTCAAATCCACTGATGGTCAGAGAATAATCAGATCCTGAACCACTTCCACTGAAACGACTGGAGATTCCAGAGTGACGATTTGTTGTGTCATATATGAGGAGCTTTGGAGGTTCTGTGCCTTTCTGGAGATACCAGTTGCAGACAATTAGAAATACCTGTACTAGTCTGACACCTGAGAGTAACAGAGGCTCCTTTGTCCACAGCTGCAGCTTTAGGAGTCTGAGTCAGGCTGATTTCTCCTGAAGAACCTGAAAAACAGAAGAAGAGTTATTGAGACAGACCCCGCAGGTGTCCAGAGGAGCAGTGCTGTGACCCAGATGTCCTCACCCCGAACCAGGAGCCCCAGGGCCAGCAGGAACAGCTGCAGGGACATCAGGCTCATTGTGTTGTTGGTGTGGGAGTGGCTCTGAAGGGCCCGCACACACACTGAGCAGCACTGGGCTCTTAACGGCTGGAGCAGAGAGGCAGCACACATATGCAAAGTCACACAGTCAGAGGAGACAGACACACAGCTCACACTACTGCCCCCTACTGACCACTACTGACCACTACTGACCACTACTGACCACTACTGACCACTACTGACCACTACTGACCATTACTGAACACTACTTAATTTAATTTGATTGATTATTCAGGCAAAAGGGTACAGTGCTGTATATCAGACAGACAGTAGAGCATTCAAGTGAACAGTATGTCACCTTCCCTTCACTATACAGCAGGGGTCTCTCAGGGTCAGTTTGAGGGCCCCTGCTTTTATGACATGTGTCTCATTTTCACAGAAGCTCAAAGTGTCCATGAGGCTTTAGATGGTTCACACAACAGAGAGATCCATGTGTTTGCTTAAAACATCTAAATAAAAACAGTGTCTACATTCAGACCAACTACAACACTGGTCCTAGATGAGGTCAGCTGATAGATAAATACATGTGAGCACTACAGAGAGCAGAGCTGGAGCAGACGCAGCACATACACAAACTCACACAGTGACCTTTGACCTTTGGACCAGACCCTAAAATGGTTCAGTGTGGGATCAGAGCAAAGCTGAGGCCTGAACACAATAGAAACAGTGTCTGTGAGTTTATTCTTGTGACTCGTGTGTTTAGTTGGATTGTTTGTGATTCAGAGCAGTAAATCCAGAAGAACAAATGAGTCCAGAGCTGCTCTGTTCCAAACACACATTTAACATGACACATGAATCTGATCACACTGGATCAGGAGAGAGGCCAGGCACACTTCACTGTCACATTTATGACAACCAGACTCTGATGAAAATATTCAAAGGAATATTTATGTTATTAAGAAATGTCCATGTGTTTTTTTTTGTTTTTTTTTACGAGTTCAAAATGGTATGGAAATGTGAGTTATATGCATATTCTTAATTACATGTGTCATTATTTTAACTGAATGTGTTTAAGACAGCCTTAAGATGAGCCTTTCAGGTGTACAGTTTTTGAAACGTATGAACCACTGCTATTAAAATATTAAAATAGTATTTTTTTTTTTTATTAATTACCATTATATAACAGTTCAATTGTGTTCATGAAACACAGTGTCCTGTACCAGCACCATCACACAATTCAACACAATTCTTTGTCTCTTGCTGTGAACCTCAGGGATGTGTTATAACTCCTTTTGTCTTTTAGAATGAAGTGAAATTGAGACAATAGTAGGAATGTGAAGTTTTGTTTTGTTTTTTTGATTCACTGAGTTAATAGTTGAATGTATTAATGAGTTTGTCAGTGGTTCATTTAATGTCATTCATGAGTTTATGTTCATATATTTCTCTTGAGCCTTTCCCTCAGTGAGAGCTCCTCTTACAAAATAGAAACATCACAGAGCTGCTCCTAATGTGATGAATAATATTTGAATTTTTCTGTGTCATATGAATTATTCCTAAATCCTTTGGGGAGAAGGAGCTGGAGAGACACTGGCAGCTCCAGAGGCTCAGACTGGACACTCACACGGATAATTACATTTAAGTCAAGATTGGTAAACTTATGTTAATTATGTATGTTGGCCTAAACCAGAATAATGTTGTGTTTAAAGTTTATCTATATATTATTTACTTATTTATCTATTTTTTTTTTTTAATAAGACAAAATTGTACTGTATATTTTTATGTACAGTGATCTAAAGTATCAGATTCATGCTCAATGAAGTGAGCGCAGCTGCAGCTCAGTTCAGTTTCACTTCAGTCTGAGGTTTTTGTACGAGTCTTTTTCACTGTGTGAACTGATCATAACGGGAAGAATCAAATACACCCTTACAGTGATACACAGCAAAATCTTCAGGCTGAACTCCACTGATGGTCAGAGTGAAGTCAGACCCAGATCCACTGCCTGAAAAACGACTGGAGACACCTGAGACTCTGTTAGATGTTTGATAAATGAGAAGTTTAGGTTTCTCCCCATCTCTCTGTTGGTACCAGTGTAAGTAGCTATTGCTCCACACATTCACACTGGTGGTACAGCGTATGTTGACGGTGTCCCCCAGGGCGGCCCTCACTGCTCCAGCCTGACTCACTGTCACCTGTCCTCTGGACTCTGAACACACAAACACAAAGCACCTGATGGTTTAGTCTGGTTGGTCTCAGAGGGACGGATGTGGACAGAGGACAGCAGTGGGACTCTCTGGACTTTACCTGTGAAGCAGCAGCAGAGGACAGTCCACATGAGGACGCACACCAAAGTCATGTTGGTGATGAGGAGGCCGTATGTGGCTTGTGTTGTCATGAAGGACAGCTGCCAGTGCTCCAGAGTGCACCTCTCAGGACTATAAAGTGTCCCACTGGACCATGCAGCTGTTCATGCAAAGTGTTTGTCTATGGAAATGAGCTCCCACACAGACATGGAGCACACTGAACAGCTGCAGGGACTGTGTCATGACTCTATTTATACAGCACAGATACAGTACAGGAACATAGAATAAAATCATGCAATTGTAAATATGTAAAAAGTGAAAAACAGAATAAAAATTAATCAAAATTACCTAGTTTAAAACACAGCAGCAGAGTGAGAGTTTGTGATGGGAGTTGTCAGAGAGCTCCAGAGAATTGGGCCATAGTACATGAAGGCGCCCTCACCAGATCGGGGCTGTATTCATGACACTGTTCAAAGTTGTTGATTGGATGAACGGAGAGGTCTGAGTGGAGTGACTTCTAAAAGCATGTCACAGATGTAGGAAGGAGCCAAAGCATGTGGAGATTTAAAGAGCAATAATAACATCTGAAAATCACTTCTTTGTTTAACAGGCACCAGTGAAGTGACAATCAAATGGGTGTAATGTGCTCAAAGCGCTGAGTTTTGGTTCCAATTCTAGCAGCAGGATTTGGAATGAACTGGAGTTTGTTTAGTGAGTGATTATTAAGACAAACATAAAGTTCATTACAACAGTTCGAATCCAAACAAAAACATGAACAACTTTCTCAACATCAGGTTTGAACAGGACACTTCTGACCTTACAAGATATTCATGGTAAATGTATAAAAGTGATTTTACTAATATTTAAAATTTTTTGGTTCTTAAAATTAAGGTCAGAGTCAAATGTTACCCCTATTTTTTTTTTTTTTTTTTTTGTAGTATGAGTAATCAAAAGATAAGGAGTGAAGTTGTGGGTTGAAGTTTTGCCCTTATCCTTTGAGCCAAAGAATTAAAATGTCTGTCTTGCCATTCAGTTTATTTTAGGTTTAGTTTAGTTTGTTTTGTGATTTGAATGTCTTTCTTATTCTGTAAACCACTTTCAATGACTGTGTGGACAAACTGTTCTGTACAAATAAAGAACATATGGGTTCATCCAGGTTTTGATGGTGGAGATCGAGTTTCAAAGGTTCAGATTGGAGAGACAGACACACAACTCACACTACTGCCCCCTAATGACCACTACTGACCACTACTGACCACTACAGAGAGCAGAGCTGGAGCAGAGGCAGCACAACACAAACTCACACAGTGACCTTTGAATTTTCCGACCACAAAAATGTTTGAGAGAAAAGCAAATCCTAAATTTGTAAAATAAATACTGATATAGAACCACATGAATGAACAGACACTGGTTCTGTTCTCACAATTTTAATATAAATAACAAAATAAATGAACAAACTAAACCTGAAGAATAAAGTGAATGTTCAGTAAAGATTATATTTTGAAAGAATTGTAATTTATAGGAAGAAATAAATATGAATAAAATGTATTTGATAAATGTGAATGTTGTGAATAACAGGGATGTGTTTCTGCTGCTTTCAGATTCAAAACAATGTTTGATCCAGTGAAAACAAATGAAACCAGATGAATCATTAATATTACTTTTCCAATGTCTGACAATATTATGAAAGTTAAATACTTTTTACAGGAAGATACTTTAGTTTTTTGACTCCTGACCTAAATGTAAGTCAAATGTTTTCCAGACAAGTGCATAGACACACTGATATGACCTTTTGTTCATTTAGTCGTTGTATTGTGTGAACATTATATTTCCTCATTTTATCCTTTTTCTTGTGGAAAATTATCAATGAATAAATTATTAAAACAATGATCAAAAGCCTCGATGTCAATGAGGATGAAGTGAACACAGCTGCAGACCAACACTGTGTCCCTTTAAAGATCATTTCAAATCTTTCCTGTGGAGGACCTCAGGGAAGTGTTTTTGTCTCTTTCTAATTCATTGTTAAATGTCGAATATTTTATACATTTGTTATATTGAATAATTGAGTGTGTTAACAGTATATTTTCTTATTTTATCAGTTTTTTCTGTTGTGGACCCCAAGGAAGTGTTTTAGCCCCTTTTTAAGTCATTGTAAAAGGTCTAATATTTGTTATATTGAATCATGACGTGTATTAAAAATATTTGGCTTTACTCCAGAATTAGAAAGACACAGTCAATAGTATTACCTTGAACTGATGATTAAAATATAAGAAAAAAAAAGGAAAATAAATAAACTATATATAAAAATAAATAAATAAATAATATGTTGTTGTTTTTTCGTTTGTTTGTTTTGTTTTTGTTTTTTTTTCCACATAGGAATTCTAACTGGAGTCCTATGTTTGCTTGTTCTTTATCTTCACATTTTTCACAGTTCGAGACTCTGAAGTTTTTCATTCTCCACAATCACTAACATGACTTTTGAACATGCAGTTTATTCACTCAAATGTTTGTAACATAATGGTGTAATTTAATAATGGTCACACCTATGTTGACTGTAAATTATGTGTGTGTGTGTGTGTATGTGTGTGTGCGTGTGTGTGCATGTGTGTGTGTGTAAAAATAATTAAATAAATGCAAATAATTTAATTATAAAATAACATAATGAATTCCCTGTTCAGCCTGTTCTTAACTCTCATTATATTGCGTGTCACTGTGCAGTGTGAGTTTAGTGAAGTGTGAACAGTTTCAGTTCAGTCTGAGGAGGTTTTTGTACGAGTCTTTTTCACTGTGTGAACGGTGAGCTGTAACCCTGCTGACAGTAATAAACTCCTGCATCTTCAGCCTCAAATCCACTGATGGTCAAAGAATAATCAGATCCAGAACCACTTCCACTGAAACGACTGGAGACTCCAGAGTGACGAGAAGTAGCAGCATATATCAGGAGCTTTGGAGATTCTGTGCCTTTCTGGAGATACCAGGCGAGCCACTGACCAACACTTGAACTGGTCTGACACCTGAGAGTAACAGAGGCTCCTTTGTCCACAGCTGCAGCTTTAGGAGTCTGAGTCAGGCTGATTTCTCCTGAAGAACCTGAAAAACAGAAGAAGAGTTATTGAGACAGACCCCGCAGGTGTCCAGAGGAGCAGTGCTGTGACCCAGATGTCCTCACCCCGAACCAGGAGCCCCAGGGCCAGCAGGAACAGCTGCAGGGACATCAGGCTCATTGTGTTGTTGGTGTGGGAGTGGCTCTGAAGGGCCCGCACACACACTGAGCAGCACTGGGCTCTTAACGGCTGGAGCAGAGAGGCAGCACACATATGCAAAGTCACACAGTCAGAGGAGACAGACACACAGCTCACACTACTGCCCCCTACTGACCACTACCGACCACTACTGACCAATACTGAACACTACTGTAGTCCACACGAAAATGTCTAAACACAGACCTTAAAAAGAAGGTGACTAAGAGAGTGAGACGTCACATTGAAAACAATAAACACAATTAAAAGTGAACAGTTGAAGTAGGACAGTGCAGTTATGGTCTGGTTGTGTGGTGGAGTGAATAGGCCAGTCTAAATAGGTGTGTTCTGAGTTTGGATTTGAAATGTGGGAGTGAGTGAGTGTTGTGGAGATCTGGGGGAAGAGTGTTCCAGAGCTGAGGAGCAGAGCGACTGTAGGCTCTGCTCTCCCATGGTGAGGAGATGGACAGAGGGAACATAGAGCTGGAGAAAGAGGAGGAGCAGAGGGAACTGTTGTAAGGGGTGAATTTTGTGAACATTATATTTCCTCATTTTATCCTTTTTCTTGTGGACAATTATCAGTGAATAATTGATTAAAACAATGATCAAAAGCCTCGATCTCAATGAGGATGAAGTGAACACAGCTGCAGACCAACACTGTGTCCCTTTAAAGATCATTTCAAATCTTTCCTGTGGAGGACCTCAGGGAAGTGTTTTTGTCCCTTTCTTATTCATTGTTAAATGTCTAATATTTTATACATTTGTTATATTGTATAAATGTGACTTTACACCAGGACTAGTAAAACACATGTATTAATATAACTTGAACTGACAATAAAATTATAAATCAAAATATATATTTTAAGTGTTTATTTCCACAAAGACATTTATACTTCACTCTTATTTTAACTTGTTTTTCAGTTTAAATGTGTAAATGTGAGCTGTTTGTCAGTTGTTTATCAGTCTCTGTACAGCTGAATGGTTTTGTGGTGTTCTCTGAGCGGCTGCAGGTTTTTGTACGACCACTCCATGAGTTTGTATCACTGTGGTTCACGTTCGGTGGAGGAACCAGACTGGAGCGCAACTGTAAGTCATCTCTTTATGTTCACTTTAAATGACACTTTGGTTTAGTTTGTGATTCATCTGTTTCTATTTCTGAAGCCTGACATCATTTGATTGTTTTCTGTTTTATTCTAAATACTGTTTGGAGTTCTGGGTGAGCAGTGTCTTCTTATCATCCCCACAGTCACTCACCTCAATTTATACAGAAATATTTTGTTCCCACTGTAACTAATTAAAATTTATGGTTTTAGCGGGGAAAAAGTTAATATTTATTTAATTTTTCTGTTCAGATTTTTTGTTTTTAAATTGTCGTAACACAGAAACATTTATTTATTTATTTATTTATTTATTTATTTATTTTGTATGTAATTATAGTAATGTCGATAAAAAAAAAAAAAAAAAAAAAAAAAAAGTTGTTATGGACCTTTTGTTTTCTGTGTACATTTCAGGAGATTTTTATTTAAAGTTTATCTTTAACTCTGAAACTGTTCTGTTGTTCTGCTTCAGTGGAGCCTCTCAGTTCTGTTTTCACTCATTTCAGGCTAAAAGTTACATTTGTACTGAAAAAAAGTACTTCATTTCCTATTATTATTCTAGATAACATTACATATATTTAAATGTATGTTGACTTATATTTTTTGGAAGTAATGAAGTCCAAGATTACTGGTGTGAGGTCCACCACCTGAAAATGTTTTTGCTTTACCTGGAATGTTCCATAGAACAATTTCAACACTTTCATCTTCCGTTTACATAAATACATGTGTTTGTACTGACAATTAAATACTGGTTTGATGGAGTCACTTTTTGTTATTTTCTGGATAATTCCATGGAGAAAAACTTGTGTGTGTGTTTGTGTGTGTGTCCACAGTGGGGCGAGTGGAGCCCAGCCTCTGGGTGCTGCCCCCCTCCAGAGAGGAGCTGGCCCAGGGGAAGGCCACCCTCGTGTGCCTGGCCAACAAGGGCTTCCCGTCAGACTGGAGCGTGTCCTGGAAGGTGTCCGGTGGCGGTGCGGGCGGGGAGCAGAGCCGGAGCCCCGCGGTGCCGCAAAAGGACGGCCACTACAGCTGGAGCAGCAGCCTGACGCTCCCCGCACAGCAGTGGAGGGAGGGGGGCGTGGCTGTGAGCTGTGAGGCCAGCCAGGGCTCCCAGAGTCCAGTGTCCCACACACTGAGCACACTGCAGTGTTCCCACCACTGACACAGTCACTGGGATCAGCCTGCAGAGCGCCCTCTGCTGTCAGCTCACGCCTCTACAGCTACAGCTCCACTTCACTTACTGCAGCACAGCACACAGGCCTCTGTCCCAACTGGAGCTTCTGCTCCAAATAAAGAGCTGTGCATCAAAAGCATCTTTGTGTCTTTACATCATTTCAATGGAATTCTTCCTTTTTCTATCACACACTTTAGTGTTTGGAATAAATGTAGGTTTGAGGTCAGGTTATGAGGGTTGGCTTTTCATTCACTTGCTTCATATGTGTATTTATAAATGCTGAATGTTGTGAATAAATCCATGAATATATTCATCAGGGAAATGGGACAAATCTTTGTTTCAGGGTAAACACACTTCAGTTTGTCTCTGAGAGTCTCTGAGAGTGGAAAGAAAATGGAATTCATTTGATTTCAATATTTAGCTGCTCTTCATTTATTCTTACATTTTTAATATATTTGCACAATCTGTGTAAGGGATAAATATTAATTATTATTGAAGTTATTATGGTCTAGATGGAAAGTGGTGTATAAATAAGGTTTCATAGATTTTAGTACTTTTAATTCCACATGAATAATGGTCTTAAATTGTTCATTTAGCTCCCATTGTGAAACTCTCTGGGGTTAGGCCTTTCAGCTGCTCAGTTTTGTTGGAAGATGCTGTTATAGTTATATTGTAAAGACTATTATTATTATTATATTATTATTATTATTATTATTTATTTTATTTTTTTTTTTTTTATCAAACACAATCAAAACCTACAGAAAATGGTGAATTATTAAATTTGAGTGTTAAGTATCTGCAGCGTCTGTGTTTAAACTCAGTGAAGTGTGAACAGTTTCAGTTCAGTCTGAGGAGGTTTTTGTACGAGTCTTTTTCACTGTGTGAACGGGAAGCTGTAACCCTGCTGACAGTAATAAACTCCTGCATCTTCAGCCTCAAATCCACTGATGGTCAGAGAGAAATCAGATCCTGAACCACTTCCACTGAAACGACTGGAGACTCCAGAGTGACGAGTTGTAGCATAATATATGAGGAGCTTTGGAGGTTCTGAACCTTTCTGAAGATACCAGGCGAGATAATTCTCTACATTTAAACTGATCTGACACCTGAGAGTAACAGAGGCTCCTTTGTCCACAGCTGCAGCTTTAGGAGTCTGAGTCAGGCTGTAATCTCCTGAAGAACCTGAAAAACAGAAGAAGAGTTATTGAGTACTGACCACTACTGACCACTACTAAACACTACTGAACACTACTGCCTCCTACTGACCACTTCATGTCATGTTAGTTCTCCTTGTTAAATGAACACACCTGTATCTATCAGACAAACAGTGATGTGTGGAGGTAAATGATACTGAGTCGTTCTCTCTTCAGTTTACAGCAGGGTCACTCAGGGGTCATTTTGAGGCCTCTTCTCTTCTTACTTCATGTCCATGACCTGACTAGAGTTTGCCAAAATGTGAACTCACTACGTCATTATGTATGACACGTGTCTCGTCTTCACAGATGCTCAAAGTGTCCAAGACTCTGCTCTTCCACTCTCTGCAGCTTTAGATGATTCACAAAACTGTCTGAGTGATTCATGTCTTGGTCCTAGTGAAGATCTGACATGGAGGGAAGAAATAACAAATGTTGAGGAATTTAAATCCCTTGTGTGGTGCACCTTAAGTATATCACCAATGAGTTTTTATTTATTTATTTTATTTATTTAGTTTGGTATTTGGTATAGTAATTCAATATATGTTTTTATTTTTGGTAAATTAATACTAAGTTTACATTTGAACCTGTTCACGTGTCATTGATAAGTACTGTACTGTAAGTATTTTTTTTTAATAAGGGATTAGAAATGTATTGGTGACACAGACCCTTTATGCCAGTCGTGCTGCCCCAGGTCGGGCTTAAAGGCAAAACTTCCTCTTTGCCCCAAACACAATCTGGACGTGAAAGGCAACGCTCTGTGTCTTCTTTTCATTTACTAATATTAAACCTTTCAGGTCAGAACACAGTAAAAATCTGCCACATATTACACTGTAAGGTCATGACTTAATGTTTTATCCGTATGTAATACTGTTAATATGTTTATTGGTCATTTTCTGCTTCTATTTGTGAGTTTGTGGTCAAGGTTTAGATCAGCAGTGCAAACACACGTGGTCTGAAACATGGTGATACCACATTAGATGCAGTGTACAGGTTTATTTCACTTTTAAAAGCAGCTGCATGCACTTTGTTTTGATTCTAGTATCTAAAACAAAGTACCTGTGAGTTCATGTGTTTGGCTTTGAGACAGTTCAAAGAACATTTGCAAGTTAAAGAGACAATACAAGAAAAAACTCACACAGTGACCTTTGACCTTTTGACCAGACCCTAAAATGTTTCAGTGTCAGATCAGAGCAAAGCTGAGGCCTGCACATGTTCTTTCACTAGTTTTATTTTTACTGAAACACAACCATAAAAACAAAACTACAGACCTGTAATGACTCGAATAGATATAAAAATAATAAATACATAAAGAAGGAAGAACAATGTGAATCAGATGTTTTGAAGTCAAATGTTCATGTGTTTTATTTGTTACTTTAACATTTTTGAATGGAGTTACAGCTTCACATTCACTAACTGTTGCTCTTATACATTTTTAGTATCAGTTTGAATTGACTCAGGTTAAACATCATCTTAGTTTGTGGATGAATTTTAAACTTTTTTAATTCCATATAAGAATTACCTCAACAACACGTGTTCTTATCCACTGCTTTCATCTTCCTATTAGAGATGACACTGTGTAAGTCTTTTAGCTGCATGTGTTTAAAAAGGCCACATCAGAAACCAGAGCTGAGCCTTTCAGGTGTACAGTTCTGGTAATCATATAACAGTGTTGTATTTAAAATGTCAGTATTTGTAATGACTCCCATAGAGCTGTTAGTTGTGTGTAATATGGTCACAGGGAGCAGTTGTATCAGAACAACAGTTTGTGTGCTGCTCGCTGTGGACCTCAGGCGTGTGCTTTTGCTTCTTTTGTGTCTCATACTTAAATATTGACATTATTAAACAGTCCTGCACAAGAGCATTTTTGATTCACTAAATGAACAGTTTGTTGAAAGAAAATACTCATCCTCAGTCTTTTTCGGGGAATACGGCTGTTGATCGATGTGTAACTGCTGTTTGAATCAGGTTTCATAGTTTTTTAGTATTTTCAACTCAATGAATAATTTATCTCCCATTGTGAGACTCACTGGGGTGAGGCCTTTCAGCTGATCAGTCTTTTTGGAATGGATGGAGTTATGGAAACATTTTAAAAGGTTCTTTTTTATCACACACTATCATATTAGTAAATTCATCATTAAATAATGAACACAGTATCTGCAGTGTCTGTGTCAAATGAAGTGTGAACAGTTTCAGTTCAGTCTGAGGAGGTTTTTGTGAGTCTTTTTCACTGTGTGATCAGTGAGCTGTAACTCTGCTGACAGTAATAAACTCCTGCATCTTCAGCCTCAAATCCACTGATGGTCAGAGAATAATCAGATCCTGAACCACTTCCACTGAAACCACCTGAGACTCAGAGTGACGACTAGTCCACGTTGCACCTGTATATTCTCTATTCACACTTACCAGAAGACGTTTGGAAACATGCAGATGAAGACTTCAGGGTGTAGTTACCAATACTGGGCCATAGACTGTATAAAGAATATTTATATATACAGTCTGAGTTCTGGGCATGTGATAAAACCATGTCCATGTCACTTACATTCTGCTGGTTGTAACTGTTGATTTTATAAAAGAAAAAAAAAAAAAAGAAAGAAAGAAAGATCACATTGACTCCTAGATGAAGAAGAAGCACATGTGAAAATGGGAGCACATGTGTTTGGTTTGATGGTCTCTTCACTGGAGCCTGGGCACTTTAGGATCCAGTGTAAACAGCTTGTATTAGTGTAAAAGTGCGTTTGAACAGTGCTGTTCCTTTGAACCTCTCTGAGCTCCTCCATCCTCACACTCGTGCTGCAGCTCGTCCTGAGTGTGTCTAAGAGCAGACAGAAGCTCAGAGGGGACGGGGCCTTTGTCGTGGCACCACCAACACTGTGAATGAGCTGCTTCTGCACATTAGACAGGACTCTTCTGTCCCTCTTTACAAATCTCTTCTTAAAACACATTTGTTCACTTTGGTCCTCACACACTTTGACATGGGACATTTATTTATGTATTATTATTATTATTATTATTATTATTATTATTATTATTATTATTATTATTCATTTTTAATTTTTTTTTTTATTACATTCTGTTTTATACAGATGTTGTTTTCATGGTTATGTTTTGTGGCACTTCAGTCGACCTGTGTTGTTTTTAAAGTGTGTAATAAATCGAGCTGCAGGTGCAAAGTTTGGGAACCACTACAGTTAAAAATAAATAAATAAAAATTCTATTGTAGTNTGTGATCAGTGAGCTGTAACTCTGCTGACAGTAATAAACTCCTGCATCTTCAGCCTCAAATCCACTGATGGTCAGAGAATAATCAGATCCTGAACCACTTCCACTGAAACCACCTGAGACTCAGAGTGACGACTAGTCCACGTTGCACCTGTATATTCTCTATTCACACTTACCAGAAGACGTTTGGAAACATGCAGATGAAGACTTCAGGTGTAGTTACCAATACTGGGCCATAGACTGTATAAAGAATATTTATATATACAGTCTGAGTACTGGGCATGTGATAAAACCATGTCCATGTCACTTACAGGCAGCTGGATGTAACTGTTGATTTTATAAAAGAAAAAAAAAAAGAAAGAAAGAAAGATCACATTGACTCCTAGATGAAGAGAAGCACATGTGAAAATGGGAGCACATGTGTTTGGTTTGATGGTCTCTTCACTGGAGCCTGGGCACTTTAGGATCCAGTGTAAACAGCTTGTATTAGTGTAAAAGTGTTTGAACAGTGCTGTTCCTTTGAACCTCTCTGAGCTCCTCCATCCTCACACTCGTGCTGCAGCTCGTCCTGAGTGTGTGTAAGAGCAGACAGAAGCTCAGAGGGGACGGGGCCTTTGTCGTGGCACCACCAACACTGTGAATGAGCTGCTTCTGCACATTAGACAGGACTCTTCTGTCCCTCTTTACAAATCTCTTCTTAAAACACATTTGTTCACTTTGGTCCCTTCACACACTTTGACATGGGACATTTATTATGTATTTATTATTTTATTATTATTATCATTATTATTATTATTATTATTATTATTATTATTATTATTATTATTATTTTATTTTTTTTTTTTTTTTTTTTTTTTATTACATTCTGTTTTATACAGATGTTGTTTTCATGGTTATGTTTTGTGGCACTTCAGTCGACCTGTGTTGTTTTTAAAGTGTGTAATAAATCGAGCTGCAGGTGCAAAGTTTGGGAACCACTACAGTTAAAAATAAATAAATAAAAATTCTATTGTAGTATCACACACTTTAGTGTTTGGAATAAATGTAGGTTTGAGGTCAGGTTATGAGGGTTGGCTTTTCATTCACTTGCTTCATATGTGTATTTATAAATGCTGAATGTTGTGAATAAATCCATGAATATATTCATCAGGGAAATGGGACAAATCTTTGTTTCAGGGTAAACACGCTTCAGTTTGTCCCTGAGAGTCTCTGAGAGTGGAAAGAAAATGCAGCTTTGACTTCACTATTTAGACACATTACATTTTTATTTGACTCTGTCTCTGTCGGGGAATAAGAATTCAGTTTGATGTGTAACTGCTGTATGAATAAGGTTTCATAAGTTTTTATTATTTCCAACTCATGAATAAAAGAAAATCACTGGTGTTAGGCTTTTCAGCTGATCAGTTTTGTTGGATTGGATCATGTTTTATTATTATAATCATATTGTATTATATTATTTTATATATGTTTCACGAGTCACAGTCAAAACCTAAATAAAAAAAAATTGATCAAAAAATGAACACAGTATCTGCAGCATCTGTGTCAAACTCAGTGAAGTGTGAACAGTTTCAGTTCAGTCTGAGGAGGTTTTTGTACGAGTCTTTTTCACTGTGTGAACGGGAAGCTGTAACCCTGCTGACAGTAATAAACTCCTTCATCTTCAGCCTCAAATCCACTGATGGTCAAAGAATAATCAGATCCAGAACCACCTCCACTGAAACGACTGGAGACTCCAGAGTGATGAGAAGTAGCAGCATATATCAGGGGCTTTGGAATTTCTGAGCCTTTCTGAAGATACCAGGCGAGATGATTCCCTACATTTGAACTGGTCTGACACCTGAGAGTAACAGAGGCTCCTTTGTCCACAGCTGCAGCTTTAGGAGTCTGAGTCAGGCTGATTTCTCCTGAAGAACCTGAAAAACAGAAGAAGAGTTATTGAGACAGACCCCGCAGGTGTCCAGAGGAGCAGTGCTGTGACCCAGATGTCCTCACCCCGAACCAGGAGCCCCAGGGCCAGCAGGAACAGCTGCAGGGACATCAGGCTCATTGTGTTGTTGGTGTGGGAGTGGCTCTGAAGGGCCCGCACACACACTGAGCAGCACTGGGCTCTTAACGGCTGGAGCAGAGAGGCAGCACACATATGCAAAGTCACACAGTCAGAGGAGACAGACACACAGCTCACACTACTGCCCCCTACTGACCATTACTGACCACTACTGACCACTACTGACCAATACTGAAATCCTCATGAAAATGTCTAAGCATAGACTGTATAAAGAAGATGACCAAGAGATTGTGACGTCACCCACAGCTTTTAACTGTAGCTACATGAATCTTCACACCCACACCGCTGCTTTAGCTGAGAGGAGGCACTTAGCTACGCTGTCAATCACATCTTTTTCTAAGGCCAGTGGGAGCGACATCACCCATGTTCACTTCAGCAGGTCAACTATGTCCATTTATATGTCATGTTTTTCACTTTTAATAAGACAATAGATATTTACAGAAAACAACATTAGTGTTTTTTTCTTTTCTTTTTTTTTTTTTTTTCAAGTTCATAACATTTACAGTTACATTATCTTCATTATCTCTCTGGTTTTGCAGTGATATTGAGCTGCCTCTGCACATTCACTGGCCATAATGAAATATGATCACATCCATCAAGTGTCAGATCTCAAGTCCAAGACAAGACTGAGAGAAAACACCATCAAGACCGAGACCAAATGTGCTCTAGTCCGAGATGAGATCAAGACTGCAAAAGAGCTGTCTCAAGTACTACAGCACTAGAGTGTAGTGCGTAAAACAAAAGACAAACTCCAATGTGCAGTAATGAAGTGGACATGGATGAGCCTGGCAGCAGCGAGGCAGGGTAAGACATGGCAGGTGGCAGGAGGAGTGACCGGTGGTGTGGTGGAGTGAATAGGCCAGTCTGAATAGGTGTGCTTTGAGTTTGGATTTGAAATGTGAGAGTGAGTGAGTGTTGTAGAAGTCTGGAGGGAGAGTGTTCCAGAGCTGAGGAGCAGAGCAACTGAAGCCTCTGTTCCCCCCATGGTGAGGAGATGGACAGAGCGAACAGAGAGCTGGAGAGAGGAGGAGGAGCGGAGGGAGCGGTCAGGTGTGGCGATGTGGAGGAGCTCACAGAGACGTGGAGGTGTGAGGTTGTGGAGGGCTTTGAATGTGAGGAGTATGATGTTGTAGTGAATGTGGTGTGTGGTGGGAGACAGTGGAGCTGTTGTAGAGTTTGTGATGTGGTCGATGGAGGAGCAGCTGAGTTTTGGATCAGTGGAAGTTTATGGAGAGTTTCTGTGGGAGACCAAACAGAAGGAAACTGCAGTAATCCAGACGGGAGGTGACAAGGCTGTGAACAAGGATGGCAGTGGAGTGTGGAGTGAGGGAAGGGCGGAGGTGGTGGATGTTGTGGAGGTGAAAGTAGGAGGAGTGAGTGATATTGTTGATATGAGAGGTGAAGGAGAGAGTGTTATCGAGGATGACACCCAGACTCTCTACCTGAGGGGAGGGAGAGATGGAGGAGCAGTCGGTGGAAATGGAGAGAGGAGAGATCTTGCTTAGGGTGGATTTGGTGCCAGTTTGGTTTTATTGTTGTTGAGTTTGAGGAAGTTGGAGGTGAAGCAGGATGTCACTTCATCAAGACAGTTGATAAGGGAGGAGGGTGGGAGTGTGGAGTTTGGTTTGATGGAGAGGTAGATCTGGGTGTAGCAGCTCCATGTTGCAGTGGAAGTGGATGTGGTGTTTCCGGAAAAAGTGAATGTGAATAAAGTGGAACAAGGGTGGCTTTGAGGGGGCCATAAGAACACTTACCAAGACTCTGGACTCAATGTGACTTTTTATTGGACTGTTTTTGTCTCTTTATGTTTCAGTTGTTGATAGAGCCCGACCGATATATCGGCTGCCCGATATTATCGGCCAATATGGGCACCTGGAGACATATCGGCTATCGGCCGATATGCTTGCTGATATGGGTCGATATTTCACGTGGGCATGTTATACCTCGTTATAAAGCTTAGACTCTCTACATTATGTTCATTTAATCCAATTTACAGACAAATGTCCTAATATGTGGCTCCGCATCAGTATTTATCTACGGTGTCATTTGTCTGTGTCTGTGTCCGTACTGTCCCTGAAACACACCACAGAGTGACGTCACTTCACTCACGTGTGTTTGTTTACACCCGCAGACGGTGCGCAACACTGAGATTATTTTCTTTTTCGGATAATCGGTTTGAGCCTGGATTAAAAGGACTTTTATTAGTGCAGACTTGTGATGTGAGGAGGAGCCTGTGTGAGCGGTGAGTGTTGGAAATACATCGACTTTGAAGCTAGTTTAGGTTTTGTTAGCGGTTAGCTGCTGTAGCTCCCCACACATAAACAGGCTGTTTTCTATTGGTCTATTGTAAAGTGACTATATTGGCCGTATATTTGTTACTGGACCAGCATTGATATGTAAATAAACTGTGAATAGACGTGTGAATGATCCACATTTATGCATATAATTAATTACCGCGGTGCGCACGTTTTTACGGCTAAAGGCTAATAGCGATAGTTTACTAGCTAGGAGTTATGGGTCGGTCGCGATCGAAGCGGCTCTTAGATCCGGCTCTTTGAAGCGAACAACAGGAGCATGTTTCTTATTGGGAGCCGTGTTTTCTCTTTTTCTCACTTTTTCTCTTCAAGTCGCTTGTAGACCCGTAGTTTGACAGCAGCAGCGGCTGAAAACGAAACTTTCAGAAATCTGCGTGTGCATAGGATAAAAAAAAAAAAGTGCATATTTGGCTGCAGTTCAGCATAAAATGAATAAACCAGGACTAAACTTGGGCTCGAGTGAAGGAGAAAGATAGAAACCGAGTCCCGACACTCAGTCCTGGTTCAGTTCTGGTTTAGTCCTGCTTGCAACAAAAACCATCTCAAGAGTCGCTTGGGAGCCGAAAGAGCCAGTTGCTTTAGTGAGCCGAGCCGGTTCTCCAAAAAAAAAAAAAAAAAAAAACTGGAATCACTAGCAGTGACAGTAACAGTAGCTAGAATGTGATGCAAAAATGCCATTAGGCCAATCTACTGTATGTAAATATGATGTAAAGAGTCAAAATAACAATAAATGTTGCCTAAATAAACCCAGTTTAGAATCCACTAGAGCCAAACCTAAGTTTTTTTAATCAATTCAAGATTTAGAGTGAATTTTATATCATTAAAAATATCGGCGATTATATTGGCTATCGGCAGCTCCAACTCCCATTATATCGGTTTCATATCGGTCACAACAAAATCCATATCGGTCGGGCTCTAGTTGTTGACAGTTGATGTAAGTTTCTTTTCAACGCTGCACCAAAAATAAACTCTACCAAATTGTTTGTGTGCTCATTAATAAAGTTTCTGATTTGGACCATTACTGACCACTACAGAGAGCAGAGCTCATATTCAAACTCACACAGTGACCTTTGACCCTTTGACTAGACCCTGAAATGGAGAAAGGCTAAAGCTAAATATGTTTCATTTGATATTTCCTGGTACAGAAGCACAGAAAAGAAAGAACCCAGGTTCTGATCCAAAGCAAAGACACGACATTATAAATAATGAACACATGAAAAGTGTGACTAAAGATCACATTTTGAACTCACTGTGACTTTAGGGGAACAACTAAATAGAAACTCAAGTGATGTGAATAAATGTGTTTGCTGTGGACCACAGGGATGTGTTTTGTCCTTCCCAATATTATGAAGACAATATGTTTCATTTGAATGTAGAAATGAAAACAAGAGTTTGACTCTGAGACTTTTTCAGCTTTTGAGTCTTGACCAAAAGTGAGTCACTGTGAACAGGACAAGGACAGATATACACTGATAATTAATAGAATCTAAACATATATTGTATAAAGATTCGAGTTTGTCTAAATGTGGCTTAATAATGAATATTCTGTGCTAATGTTGGACTAAAACAGTTGGAGGTCAATTCAAAAGTGTTGTTCATTTAGTTGTGTGGTGTTACCTTTATATTTTTTTATTCTGTCATTTTTCTTGTAACTCTAAATGAATAAATCATTCAAACAAGTATCAAAAGTCTGACTTTAAATCAGGATGAAGTGAACAGAGCTGCAGAACAACACTGTGTCCCTTTAAAGATCCAACTTAAAAATGCTCATTAGTATGACCTTGAATTAATGATTATAAAGCAAAATACTGTTGTTAAATGTTTATTTCCACATAGATTTTCCTCCTGTTTTTGTTTGTTCTTTGTCTTCATATTTTTGTCACTTTGACACTACAAAGTGTTTCATTCTACACTATCACTAACATGACTTTAGAACATGACTTTGATTCATTCAAATGATTTTAACATAATGAACGACTTTACAAATGTATGTTTTTTTTGTTTTGTTTTTTGTTTTTTTTTTCTCTTAAAGATAAATTATGTATAATAAAGTTTTTAGCCTGGGCTTAACTCTCATTATATTGTGTCTCAGTGTGAGTTTAGTGAAGTGAGTCAGTTTCAGTTCAGTCTGAGGAGGTTTTTGTACGAGTCTTTTTCACTGTGTGAACACATACTGACTGTTGATGTAGTGATAACTCTGACAGTAATACACAGCAGAGTCTTCAGGCTGAACTCCACTGATGGTCAGAGTCAAGTCAGACAAAGATCCACTGCTTGAAAAACGACTGGGGACACCTGACGCTCGGTTAGATGTTTGATAAATGAGGAGTTGAGGTTTCTCTCCATCTCTCTGTTGGTACCAGTGTAACCTGCTTGTATACTGCACAGCTGGACTGACAGTACAGCGTATGTTGACGGTGTCCCCCAGGGCGGCCCTCACTGCTCCAGCCTGACTCACTGTCACCTGTCCTCTGGACTCTGAACACACAAACACAAAGCACCTGATGGTTTAGTCTGGTTGGTCTCAGAGGGACGGATGTGGACAGAGGACAGCAGTGGGACTCTCTGGACTTTACCTGTGAAGCAGCAGCAGAGGACAGTCCACATGAGGACGCACACCAAAGTCATGTTGGTGATGAGGAGGCCGTATGTGGCTTGTGTTGTCATGAAGGACAGCTGCCAGTGCTCCAGAGTGCACCTCTCAGGACTATAAAGTGTCCCACTGGACCATGCAGCTGTTCATGCAAAGTGTTTGTCTATGGAAATGAGGCTCCCACACAGACATGGAGCACACTGAACAGCTGCAGGGACTGTGTCATGACTGTATTTATACAGCACAGATACAGTACAGGAACATAGAATAAAATCATGCAATTGTAAATATGTAAAAAGTGAAAAACAGAATAAAAATTAATCAAAATGACCTAGTTTAAAACACAGCAGCAGAGTGAGAGTTTGTGATGGGAGTTGTCAGAGAGCTCCAGAGAATTGGGCCATAGTACATGAAGGCGCCCTCACCAGATCGGGGCTGTATTCATGACACTGTTCAAAGTTGTTGATTGGATGAACGGAGAGGTCTGAGTGGAGTGACTTCTAAAAGCATGTCACAGATGTAGGAAGGAGCCAAAGCATGTGGAGATTTAAAGAGCAATAATAACATTTGAAAATCACTTCTTTGTTTAACAGGCACCAGTGAAGTGACAATCAAATGGGTGTAATGTGCTCAAAGTGCTGAGTTTTGGTTCCAAATTCTAGCAGCAGGATTTGGAATGAACTGGAGTTTGTTTAGTGAGTGATTATTAAGACAAACATAAAGTTCATTACAACAGTCGAATCCAAACAAAAACATGAACAACTTTCTCAACATCAGGTTTGAACAGGACACTTCTGACCTTACAAATATTATGTAAATGGATAAAAGTGATTTTACGAAGATTTAAAATGTAGTTCTTAAAATTAAGGTCAGAGTCAAATGTTACCCCTATTTTTTTTTTTTTTTTTTGTAGTATGAGTAATCAAAAGATAAGGAGTGAAGTTGTGGGTTGAAGTTTTGCCCTTATCCTTTGAGCAAAGAATTAAAATGTCTGTCTTGCCATTCAGTTTATTTTAGGTTTAGTTTAGTTTGTTTTGTGATTTGAATGTCTTTCTTATTCTGTAAACCACTTTGAATGACTGTGTGGACAAACTGTGCTGTACAAATAAAGAACATATGGGTTCATCCAGGTTTTGATGGTGGAGATCGAGTTTCAAAGGTTCAGATTGGAAAGACAGACACACAGTTCACACTACTGCCCCCTAATGACCACTACTGACCCCTTCTCACCACTACTGACCCCTACTGACCACTACTGACCACTACAGAGAGCAGAGCTGGAGCAGAGGCAGCACAAACACAAACTCACACAGTGACCTTTGAATTTTCTGACCACAAAAATGTTTGAGAGAAAAGCAAATCCTAAATTTGTAAAATAAATACTGATATAGAACCACATGAACGAAAGACACTGGTTCTGTTCTCACAATTTTAATATAAATAACAAAATAAATGAACAAACTAAACCTGAAGAATAAAGTGAATGTTCAGTAAAGATTATATTTTGAAAGAATTGTAATTTATAGGAAGAAATAAATATGAATAAAATGTATTTGATAAATGTGAATGTTGTGAATAACAGGGATGTGTTTCTGCTGCTTTCAGATTCAAAACAATGTTTGATCCAGTGAAAACAAATGAAACCAGATGAATCATTAATATTACTTTTCCAATGTCTGACAATATTATGAAAGTTAAATACTTTTTACAGGAAGATACTTTAGCTTTCGACTCCTGCCCTAAATGTAAGTCAAATGTTTTCCAGACAAGTGCATAGACACACTGATATGACCTTTTGTTCATTTAGTCGTTGTATTGTTTTTTTCTTGTGGACAATTATCAATGAATAATTTATTAAAACAATGATCAAAAGCCTCGATGTCAATGAGGATGAAGTGAACACAGCTGCAGACCAACACTGTGTCCCTTTAAAGATCATTTCAAATCTTTCCTGTGGAGGACCTCAGGGAAGTGTTTTTGTCTCTTTCTAATTCATTGTTAAAGGTCTAATATGTTGTGATTTTTTATATATATATATATATATATATATATATATATATATATATATATATATATATATATATATATATATATATATATATATATATATATATATATATATATTGAATAATTGAGTGTGTTAAAATGTGACTTTACACCAGGACTAGTAAAACACTTTTATTACTAAAACTTGACCCTACAATAAAATCAAATCAAATGATAGTTTTAGGTGTTTAATTCCACATATATATTTATATTCAACTCCTATTTTAACATGTTCTTCATCTTCATTTTCTTTTATTCATCATCAGTATCATTCATTCATTCATTCAAATACCTTTTTTAAAATATATATGTGTGTGTGTGTGTGTGTGTGATATCAAGTAATTAAGTAATTAAGTTATCAAGTATTATCAGTAATTATCAGTTACTCATGTAGATGTGATTCTTGTGAACAGTGTTTTTCAGTTTAAATGTGTAAATGTGAGCTGTTTGTCAGTTGTTTACCAGTCTCTGTACAGCTGAATGGTTTTGTGGTGTTCTCTGAGCGGCTGCAGGTTTTTGTACGACCACTCCATGAGTTTGTATCACTGTGGTGGACGTTCGGTGGAGGAACCAGACTGGAGCTCAACTGTAAGTCATCTCTTTATGTTCACTTTAAATGACACTTTGGTTTAGTTTGTGATTCATCTGTTTCTATTTCTGAAGCCTGACATCATTTGATTGTTTTCTGTTTTATTCTAAATACTGTTTGGAGTTCTGGGTGAGCAGTGTCTTCTTATCATCCCCACAGTCACTCACCTCAGTTTATACAGAAATGTTTCATTCCCACTGTAACTTTTTGAATTAAAATTTATGATTTTAGCGGGGGAAAAAGTTTAATATTTATTTATTTTTCTGTTCAGATTTTTTAAGGTTTTTAAATTGTCGTAACACAGAAACATTTATTTATTTATTTATTTATTTATTTATTTAAAATAATAAAAAAAAATGTCGTTATGGACCTTTTGTTTTCTGTGTACATTTCAGGGGATTTTATTTAAAGTTTATCTTTAACTCTGAAACTGTTCTGTTGTTCTGCTTCAGTGGAGCCTCTCAGTTCTGTTTTCACTCATTTCAGGCTAAAAGTTACATTTGCACTGAAAAAAGTACTTCATTTCCTATTATTATTCTAGATAACATTACATATATTTAAATGTATGTTGACTTTCTTATATATTTTTTTGGAAGTAATGAAGTCCAAGATTACTGGTGTGAGGTCCACCACCTGAAAATGTTTTTGCTTTACCTGGAATGTTCCATAGAACAATTTCAACACTTTCATCTTCCATTTACATAAATACATGTGTTTGTATTGACAATTAAATACTGGTTTTGATGGAGTCACTTTTTGTTATTTTCTGGATAATTCCATGGAGAAAAACGTGTGTGTGTGTGTGTTTGTGTGTGTGTCCACAGTGGGCCGAGTGGAGCCCAGCCTCTGGGTGCTGCCCCCCTCCAGAGAGGAGCTGGCCCAGGGGAAGGCCACCCTCGTGTGCCTGGCCAACAAGGGCTTCCCGTCAGACTGGAGCGTGTCCTGGAAGGTGTCCGGTGGCGGTGCGGGCGGGGGAGCAGAGCCGGAGCCCCGCGGTGCCGCAAAAGGACGGCCACTACAGCTGGAGCAGCAGCCTGACGCTCCCCGCACAGCAGTGGAGGGAGGGGGGCGTGGCTGTGAGCTGTGAGGCCAGCCAGGGCTCCCAGAGTCCAGTGTCCCACACACTGAGCACACTGCAGTGTTCCCACCACTGACACAGTCACTGGGATCAGCCTGCAGAGCGCCTCTGGGAAGGTCAAAGGAAGATTCATTTTATTGTGACTTTAATGAATTTAACAAATAAAGAAATACAAATAAATGTCTTTGCTCTGAACCACATGGATGTTTTTTTTGCTCCTTTGGTATTTCATAATAAACTGTGTAATATCCAGATGAAACCATCATATAACAATATGATCATTTGTATAATTCATAATAGAATTATTAAATAATAATATTAATAATATAATAGTGTCAAATGAGCAGTTTATAAATCAAGTCAGTGACACTCTGTATTGATGCTGTCGTGAAGACCAAAAATCCCATGTTTATATCAAAGATACAATGATCACAAATTCTCTGGGTTTTGTTTTGTTTTGTTTTTTTGTTTTTTTACAAATACAGTTTGATGAACTTTTCCTCCGGCATTTGTCAGAATGAGCTCAAGTTTGGTGAAAATGATCTAGAGGAGTAGGGACATTGTTAATCTTCTTCCTGTGGTGCTGTCGCACACTTTGCCTGAAACTTTTTATCTTGTAAAAACGCCTCCATTAGTGTAGCAAAGAGGAAGAGAAGGTGTGATTGTGTCTCACAGTCGACAGTGGGACTCATGTAAAGAGGGAAACTGAGGCAGCGGCCCATCATTGCTGCTTGTGGCTCTATTTATTGTCAATATTATTGTTATATTTTTGTGAAGTGTAATGTACAGACATGAATATTGAAATAAGCAGAGACGTCCCATTTGCTGGAGCTCATAGAACAAAAGACAGAGCACTTGTTGTCATGGAACATGTTTTATTCAGCCTGTGCACTGAGCAAAAGTCACACTCTACATCTGAGTCTTACTGCAGCTGTGGGATGCTCCGTGTTCAGGGCCCATGCAGCTCTAAGCAGTGGCTCTAAGCAGTGGCTCTTGTGCAGTGACTGGACGTGGACGTGTCCGTGGTGGTGCACCCTACAGGAGAACAGCTGTCCCTGCAGCCAGCTGTCCTCAGTCAGGCTCAGGAGGCTGCTGCTGCTGTACAGGCTGCTCACACTCCTGCTCCACGCTGCTCTGAGCCGCCCCTGTGACCAGCACCATTTAAGCAGCTTTATTCAGGAAGGAAGGAAATGTCCTCTATGTGCAAGGACTTCAAACACTCAACTTTCTCTTCACATTTCACTTCATGCTTTCAGCTTCCTGTAATATGTAACACTTTGAGACCTTTTCACATTCAAAAGACTGAGTTTAAATTGTTCATCTCTATGATGATGGTCCGACTTCCTCATCATTCACAGATCTTCACTTCTGTCGACATAACTGTAAAAATCTGTTAAAATGAGCTAAATAAAATGTGTTTTAACTTGAGCTGTTTAGATTTCTGACTGTTTTCACTGCGTAGTTTTCTTATTTCAAAAAGATGTTATTTTGTCATTTGGTAAACACATGAATACATCTTTTTTACTCTGACACTAAATATTCTGTATATTTATGGTTTGAAATGTTATGTTGAGAACAACTAAGATGCATTTTTATCATGATGAAAACTGTAAACAAGGTAAAACTCTTACTGCAGTCAGAATGGAAGTATTTCTATCAAATACACATAAATATGAGAGTAAAAACGGCACATGGAATCACACGGGTCTTTGACTTCTGTTGGAGTCCAACTATTTGAAATGCCATTGTTTGTGTGGTTTGTGCAGAGTTGTGTGTTGTGTACCTGTGTCTGTGAGCTCGTGTCCGTCCACCTCCCAGCTCACACTGGCTCCCTGTGGAGAGTAGGAGCTGAGCAGGCAGAGCAGAGAGAGCCTCCCCCCAGAGAGCTGCTGCAGAGAGGGGCCCACGAGAGAGACAGAGGGGGGGCGCACCGGGCCACCTGCACACAACACGCAAAATACACACCACTTGTGTTCATATGCATGTGTAATATGTCCATTATTGACACGAGTTCACTTCAAGTACGGACACACAAATGGTTCTTAAACTGTGCTCACGTGCCAAGAGAAATGACTCTTTTTTTACTTGATACATTTAGATCCGGTGGTTCACACAAAACTCAATATTTCAACATTCAAATCAGAAAAAAACTGAGCTGATCAACGTCAGAGAAAAGCTACAAAAGCATGTGCATAGGCCAATTTACAATGTTTAAACAAAAAGCCCAAAGCAACACCAACCTCACATCATGAACAAAAATACTCTTGGTATTTTACTCTGGAGAAGAACTCCACAGTACGAGTCAAACTGAACTCTTTGTTTGATTTATGATGTTTAAAGATGTATTTTGGTGGGAACAAGACAGCTGTGTATTTCACTTCCTTTTAACTACATTTGAGCGTAAAAGTGTAAAGAATCATTGAGAATCATGTGAACATGTTGTAAATGATGAAGAATTACAGAGATTCAAAATGTCATCAAACTTTTCAATGACCTCTCACAAATATTCTTCATTATTTACAAACCAAGTTCAGATTTTATCATGAATGTAGATTATTATAATTATGTTTACGATATTATTATTATTATTATTATTATTATTATTATTATTATTATTATTTATTATTTTTATTTTTTTTTAACAAATATTAATGTTGTAGAACTGAACTCATGATGTGTAAGAGTAAAATAAAAAGTGGTTTTGAGAATATGACTTACTGTGAATGATGAGCTGTGTTCCTCCTCCGAACGTCCACCACAGTGATACAAAGTGATGAAGAGGCCGTACAAAAACCTCTGCTCTGTTCTCCTCCACACACTGCTCTCAGCTCACTCACACAACACTCACACAAAGTCTGGATTCCACTGTTTTACTAATGACCACTTCCAAACCACCACCATGTCGACGTTTGTTATGAAGTTATTTACACAGTTTATATTTACACACACATTTTACTTTTATTACTTTTTTACATTATATGGAAACAAATCTGACAGCACCGAGTTTGACATTTTTAAGCGCAGATGTTGAAAACAGGAGTGCATCAACTTTATTAAATCCTACTGATGTTAGTCATGTTTAATTGTTGAAATACCTGCAGGTTTTTGTAACATCTTTGTCATGTTTGACACAGATTCCTCCACCTGTCAGAACTCCTGAATTCACCACTCCATCTGTGCCTGCACTTCCAGCCCCGGTGTAAGTGGGCCGGACTCGCTTGTCCACAGGAGAACGTCACAGGAGAATGACTGCAGGTGAGTGTGTCGATCGTGGCCAGCCTGGTCATTTCTTAAAATCATGTCCTGTTCACCCAAAAGCTCCAGCTCATCAGTAGGAGTGGGAGGACTGGTGAGTGAGTCTCCGGTTTTCCCACACTTCAGGTCCCTGCACTCCTCAAACTCTCCCCAACACACTCTTCCTCTGCAAACACTTAGAACAGAACACAGCTTCATACACTAATCTTACTCAACAAGCACAAACTCCCTGTTGTTTATAAATCCTGAATGTTGTGAATAAATCCATGAATATATTCATCAGGGAAATGGGACAAATCTTGTGTTTCAGAGTAAACACGCTTCAGTTTGTCCCTGAGTCTCTGAAAGTGGCTTTTATTTTTAGCTGCTCTTCATTTATTCTTAAATTTTAATTGACTCTGTCTCTGCGATGAATAATGTTGTTATTATTATGTATTTATTTTAATGTATTAATGTATTAATTTATTTTATCAAACACAATTAAAATAGATCCATGATGTAAACAAACCTATACCGGTCTAAATGCACATGCGTGACCACAGATAACAGCGCAGTTCTGTTATGTTTAATAGGCTACGTTTACGTTTAAGTGCGAGACTTACACAGACACACAAACAAACAAATAAGATATCCTACAAGCTGTATTACAACGGGGAAAAAATATAAAAAATGACTTAAAAACAAACAAACAAACAACAACAAAACAACAGGTTACTTACTCTTTTGTGGAGTGAATGGACAAGTGCATTATCCCAATGAGCTCCTGTTTGTCTCTGCTCTTCTTAACTGAATGTGTGCAGTGTAGAAACATTTGAAAATACAACATTTACATGTAATATCCTCCCATCTACAGTAAAGCACAAACTCATTTTAATTTACAACAGGCTGTTGTAGAAAAAGTTTTTACTAACTGTAATATTTTTTGTCCCACAGTGCATTGCAATCTACAGTTAGGACATGTAATTTGTGAAAGCAAGAAGCAGTTGTAAAAGTTACTGTAGAAACTACAGAAATTTGTTAGAGTGTAATCCTAAATCTGTAAATATTACTGATAGAGAACCACATGACCGAAAAGACACAGGTTCTGTTCTCACCATTTTACTATGAATGTTGGAGCCATATTACGCCTCTCTACCTCCCGCCTCTGTGTGTGCTATTTGTACCTTCCTACGTAATTTGCTGCCCTATATAAAGGGGGAGAAAATGTGCACACAGGTGTTGCAGTGTGAAGGTATACAGTCTTTTGACCGTCGTCGTCGTCATTGTCGTGATCTGTGTATTTCTGGATGGCTATGAAGTACGCCAATAAATATTGAGGAACACAGTATTTGGACTCTTTTATTGAAGACACGCGTCCGAGTCACCACACACGCTGCAGCCATAGTGGACCTTGCACAGGGCAAGTTTTGGCCGCTACTATAAATAACAAAATTATTAAATAAATTAAACCTGAAACATAAAGTGAATGTTTAGTAAAGATTATATTTTGTAATAATTGTAATTTACAGGATGAAATAAATATGAATAAAATGTGTTTGATAAATGTGGATGTTGTGAATAACAGGGATGTGTTTCTGCTTCTTTCATATTCAAAACAAACTTTGATTTAGTGAATACAGATGAAACCAGATGATTCATGAATATTACTTTTCCAATGTGTGACAATATTATGAAAGTTAAATAGTTTTTTACAGTCAGACATTTTATCTTTTGAGTTCTGACCAAAATGTAAGTCAAATGTTTTCCAGACAAGTGCATAAACACACTGATATGACCTTTTGTTCATTTAGTTGTTGTATTGTGTGAACATTATATTTCCTCATTTTATCCTTTTTCTTGTGGACAATTATCAATGAATAATTTATTAAAACAATGATCAAAAGCCTCGATGTCAATGAGGATGAAGTGAACACAGCTGCAGACCAACACTGTGTCCCTTTAAAGATCATTTCAAATCTTTCCTGTGGAGGACCTCAGGGAAGTGTTTTTGTCTCTTTTTAATTCATTGTAAAATGTATTTTTTTTACTATTATTTCTGATGTGTGAAAAATGTGACTTACACTGATTGATTGATTGATAGCATTTATATAGCGCCTTTCAAGATACCCAAAGCATTTTACAGTTCATTATTCAGTCACTCCACACTCAGTGGTGGTAAACTACTACTGTCACCACAGCTGCCCTGGGCAGGCTGACGGAAGTGAGGCTGCCAATCTGCGCCATCGGCCCCTCCGACCTCCACCATCACTCACGCTCACACCACTTTCACTGAGACTAGTAAAGCACATGTATTAGTATTACCTTGAACTGAAAATAAAAAATATTAAAGAAAATATATTTTTAAATGTTTATTTTCACATATATATTTATACTTGACGAGGAGTCAAGAATAAATCTTTAAAGGTTGTATAGAGGATTTTCCAAGGAGCGAGAAATCCAGCGACTGTTTGTCCTTTTTCAAATGTTGCGCATGCGTGAAACCACCCCCCCTCCCCTACAGCTCCCTACGTAGAAACACCTCCTCCCTCCTCCTCCTTATGCCAGAAACAGGCTTGTTTCTAGAAAACAAGTACTCATCACTGCACATGACTTGTAAACAACTAACTACAGTGTTGGTTAGGCAAGGCGGAGAAGTGAGGAGCGG